GGGGCTGAGAGAGGGAGAATGGGGATGGGAGGGGTAGGTAGTGGAAGGGGTAGAGAGTGAGCGAGACTCAAACTCAGGCCTTCGGACTCGGAAGCCACAGCTTTTCTCTTAGCGCATCCCTCGGTCCCGGCCTTCTCATCCAGCCCACCACCATGATCTCCTTCCAATTCCGCCCCACTCCTTAGCCCCCACGCGATCCCACGATTCCTGCTTCCGAACCACCCTCTCCGGATCCCCAGCATGGTTAAGGTCCCAGCCCACGAAGTCCAGGCCCACGGTTTTCTCTACCTTATTCCCGGACCGCGCCATTTTGCCGGTGCGCAGGTTCCTGGATCGCCTTTTCCAGACGGAAACTCTCAGCGCCGCAACTCAGTTCCGGCGGACCCGCCGACCGACAGCGCTAAGAAGAGCCGCTTCCGGCCGCCGAGCCCGGAAGGGGCGGGGAGATCGCGCCTCGCAGCTCTGGGCATGCGCAGATGCATTCCTTTTCGCCCAGGTGAGCGAGCCGTTGGCGTTGTGGTCTTTCAGCTGCTAAGACTCTAGTAGTGTGTTAATACTAATCACTTCTCTGAAGGATTCACTGACCTTTTCTCTTATTGAGAGTAACACCCACAGCGTTTTGTGGCAGAGCTCTGGAGGTAGATTTCCTTCATTTCAAAATGAATTCGGAAAGCCACTTCTCTAAAAGTTTCTTCATAGATGTGATGACCTTAGAACCAACTTCTGAAGGGAAGGGTAGTTTTCCAGGCAAACGAAAGTAAAAAGGGCATTGTGCTCTGAAGAGGAAATGGGATGTACACACGCCTGGAGGCATAAAACTGCATCTGTTTACGCTGTCCAGATGGTTTGGAGTGGCTCCAGCTTGGAAGGGAGGAGACGACGTTTATTTAGAAGACAAGTCTAGGGAAATATACTGGAAATAGCAGCTGTCAATCACTCTACTTGACACAAGGAAACTGTCCAGCCTGCAGTCCCTGCCCCTTTTGAGGGATGTAGGCCCAAGCTGAACCTTGCACAGAAACGGCTGTTTTTATTTTTTTATTGTTTTGGGGGGGCCTTTTTTTTGGTGGCTGGCCAGTACAGTGATCGAATTCTGGATCTTGGTGTTATCAGCACCACGCTCTAACCATCCGAGCTAACCGGCCAACTCCAGGAACAGCTGTTTTCTATACTAAGTGACCCACAAGATGACAGGTGATTGGACAAAGGATCCAGCAATTTGCAAACTGTCTGCAAACCTCTGCCCAAGCTGGGAAAATAAAGTCCAATCGGATTCTCTCCTCTTGAAAATTGGACCTGGGAAAAGTAAGACCTGAAACTGAAAAGATGTGGAGAATCCGTGAAGAAGGAGGATCCTCGAGGGAGCCAAAGTTACCAATATGTTGAAGCCAAGAAAGTCAGACATTTTCAGACTGTGCTCATAGAGCCCAGGAGTTTCTTCAAGCTTTTGTTCAAACTCAAGAGGTTCTTTTAAATCTAAAATATTTTTAATATGACTGGTAAATAGACTTACCGAGACTTACAACGGTGAAGGAAATTTGCATGCTTTGTGTCCATGATTTTATCCTGTGTATAGTCTCTATTTCTTTCTTTCTCGTTTTTTCTCTCTTTTCTCTCCCCCTCCTTCCTCCCTTCCTCCCTCTCTCCACTCCATCCTCAACCTCCTCTTCCACCTTCTTCCTCCTGCCCCTATTTCCTCCAATACAGGTCTGTTTCCTGGGAAAAATAAAAGATATTCTAGTAGCTATGCTTGCTTGCATCTCAGCTGTCTTCACAAAAGTCTTTAGAACCATCCATTTCCAGGCAGCTAGGCAGCTGTTATATTGAGAATGGATATGGACTTTAAGCATTGCTTCCCACTGGCAAAAGTCCTCCATTAATCAAGGGTGAAGGGGTAAACTTTATTAATGTGACAGTGTATATGGCTACTCCCTTCCTCCTGTGCAAAAGGACTCTGGCTTTGTTGGTTCCATTTCTATCTGTCATTGCAAGGTCCTTTGGGATTTGTATGACACGGAATTGGGTGTAAAGGGGAAGATAAGAGGTTGATAAGCTATGGCTAGTGGTGGTGATGGTGTGCGTGTTGGAGGCCGGGGTGTTGGACAGAGAGATGTATGGGATCCACTGTGGCATATAAAGGAAATGGATGGGATAAGAAAAGGGGAATAACAGACCATTATTTCAGTGGCCTCCAGGAGCCATGCTTTCCAGCATTCACACTCTAATGTAGTCTCTTCCCCTTGAATCTGGACTGGCTTTATGACCTGCTTTAACCAGGAAAATGTGGCAGACATCACACCAGGGCTAAAGACTTCAGAATGCCTGGTGGATTTGGCTTTTGCACTCTGGTCAACCCAAGACACCATGTCTGAAGACCAACTACCATGAGACTTGCTAGGCTGTGAAAGCCCAAAAGAGCCACATGTAAAGGCACTGTTATAGACTTAATGTGTGTCTCCAAAATTCATATGTTGAAATCCTAATGTTTAATGTAACAGTATTTGGAGATGAGGCCTTTGGGAGGTAATTAGGTTTAGATGAAGTCATCAGAGTGGGGCCCTTATTACAGAATTAGTGCCTTTATAGGAAGAGACACTAGAGAGTTTGTGTTTTCTCTTTCTCACCCCCTCTGTGTGTGTGTGTGTGTGCTCACACAAAGAAGAGTTCATGTGAGCACACAGAAGATGATTGTCTGCAACCCAAGAGGAGAGCCCTCACCAGAAACCAACCCTACTGGTACCATGATCTTGGATTCCAGTCTCTAGAGTTGCGAGAAAATGCATTTCTGTTGTTTAAGCCAGCCAGTCTGTGGTATTTTGTTATGCGGCCCAAGCAGACTAATAAAAGCACTGAGCACCAGGGGTACACCTAGATGGCAGCTGGCACCTACTTGACAGCTGTGGGGATGCTGATCAGACCTTCTTCCATCCTCACGGCCTTCACAAGTTTGTTGGAGGTAATTACAATCTTTCCCTGCACAGATTGCTTAACCAAAGCAGAACAAGGAAAGGAATGCTACTTTCATGTAAGATTTCCTACACCAACAGATTTTTTTTCTTTGGCATAGCTCCTTCTTTATTTCCAACCCCCCTATAAACTCCTGGTTCCTCTCCAGACGTTGCAGGGTACAGCTGCAAAGGTCTGAATTGTCACTCACCTGATCCTTCCCATCTATAAGTTACCCATCAGTAAACTTTACTAGTAATGAAGTATGGAGTTGCTTGCTTCATTTTTTGTCTCAAGATATTTTCTCAGTTTGGTGGACATTTTTGCCTTTGGTCCACCTTCAGACAGCAGCCATGCAAGTGAAAACTATCACTTGGGAGTGGATCCTCAAGCCTCCAGAGAGCCTCCCAGTATTAGAAACATTGAGCAGAGACTAATTGTTTCCACTGAGCTCTGCCCAAATTAAAGAATTGTGAGCAAAGAAACTCAATGGTGATTGTTATTTTAAGCCACAAAGTCTTAGGTTTTTCAGAGGCAATGGTAACTGAAACAACCGAGACTTTTAAAACTACAGCTGTAGTGTAGACTATGGGTTCCCTTCAGGGTAATTAATAAAGGTAAAAAATTTGATTCATTTTGAAATTACAATTTAAGTTGCTGGAATATGTTTGAGTTTGTTACCACTCTGAGAGTGAACTATGTGAGTGCTGACTTCATGGACATTATTGTGTCCATAAAAATATGCAGGCTTTGTGCTGTAACAGAGCTGTAACAATGTTTATATGTGCAATTGGGAAAATTAGTTAAAATCTTAACAGGGTACAGATGTGATGTAAAAGTTTATATCCCAAACAAATGCAAGTAGTGATGGTACCATGTTTTACCACTTCCATCAAATACCATTCTCAAAGAATACATATATGAAAAAAACCTTAAAACAATACACGTGAAAAGGCTTATCGTAGTAATTAAATTAATTGAAGTAAAGAAGATAAACTTTTGATGTTAGCCAGTACTCATTTTCAACACTGCAAAAATTAAGCCCTGGTTGGCCATTCAATAATGGCAGAATGAAACTTTCAAATCATCTGAAATTCATTCTTTTTAAGATTTACAATCTTGTTTTATAGGAAATCATGGGTCTTATTCCCCTGAGACATGAACTGAAACAAAGGGTGCTACATAATGTTAATAGACAAGATGACTTGGAAACATCAATTTCACTATACTGGGTCAGACGTGGTTAATCCTGCTCAGTGTATTATGGCTGCTAAGCAACTGGAAAATATAGCCCTTTTCTTTGATATTCACCATGAAGATCAAGTAACTATGAGCTAAGAGAACTGTTCAAATATGGTATTTAGCTCTCCAATTTGTCCTCTAATGTTCTCTTGGTGTTTGCTGAGAGCAAAGATGAGATTGCTTTAGTTCTGTTTGGTTCAGTTTTCCTCCCTCTAGTCTAGGCTTTTACATACCTTAGTAGAGCCCTTTTTTGTTTGTTTGTTGGTTGGTTGGTTGGTTTTTTTGACCGGTAAGGGGATCACAACCCTCGGCATGGTGTGGTCTGCACCACGTCCAGCCAGTGAGTGCACCGGCCATCCCTATATAGGATCCGAACCCACGGCCTTGGCGCTACCAGTGCCGCACTCTCCTGAGTGAGTCACGGGGCCGGCCCAAGAAGAGCCCTTTTGAAATGATTATTTCTAGGTGATGAGTCCAACTAAGGTGAAGGCCATGTCAGTTTCATCTAGGTATCTCCTGGGCTCACTCCACACTCACCCTCACTCCACGCTCTTCCATTCCACCATAGCCACATTATCCTATTTTTGGCCTTGGCTATTGGTTTCCCAAATCCCCCCAAAACTGACAAATGTGGTTACCACTTTCTAATGTGGGCTTAGGCAAAAATGTGATTTGTGGAACAGTTCACCTAAATAGCATCCCCATAAACTAGTGGTACACGGAACGAGTCAAGACATGAGGATCCAATCACCCTTCTTCTGGAAGCTGTAGCATTCAAAGCAATTTTGGAGAGCCTCAAGGACAAAGTGAACAAATGTTAATTAGATTTTATTTTTATTTTCTTTGCCTTCATTTCAATTATTCATGTATCTGCAAGTGCACCAGAGAAGGTTATCTTCAAAAATGCTGGACACATTTTTTTTCCTTGTCAAACTAATAATAATTATTTTTTAAAAAAGAAAAAAGAGTTCTTCTAAAGGTGGAGTTCAGCACCATGAATTAGGCAAATGTCCTTGACTTTCTGTAGGGGAGCATGCCTGGCCCCTCTGGTTTGGTTCACAGTTCTTTCAACACCTTCTTTTTGAGACAGGAACAAGAAATGAGTACCAGCTATTCCTGTAAAAATCCAAACCTCCAACATCTACCGACCTCTTAGCAGTTAATATTTTGAAATTAGGACACCTTTAAGAATGATTTCATGTGCGTGTAAAGTTCAGAATCTATTAATCTGGATTAATCTGGTTTATATCCCCTACTGGCCAGGAAGACACAAACTTCTCAGCAAGGCAAAGATTAAGTTTGTTGTTAAACTCTAGAAAGATCTGAGTGAGTAAGGCTCTGAATGAGGTTTTGCCAAAAAACAGAAGACTATGCCTGGCCTTTCTGTGCTCAGGACTTCTGATCCCTGTTGGAGTAATGTTTGGCAGATGCAATCCTTCCCTTCCAAGTCTTTAATCTATAGATTAGATTAAATATCACCACCCACCTCCACCACCAGGAAAAAGAGTTATGCTGCCATTATATAATTGTACTCTCCTGTCCGCTAATCCTTTCCAAAGAAACCTGAAACCACATGACATTACAGAAGTTTAATTGCAAAGTACACGAGGTGCTAATATCTGTGTATAGCATATATGTAGTATACGTAGCTAATATCTATGTATAAATTCTTCATGTAAGATTTAGGCCAAACAAATAAATAAATGAATGAATAAATAATAAATTAATAAAACTATATCAGCAGGTTGGGATTTTGAGTGTATTTAAATAATTATTGTAAGGTGGAGATTCTTACCTGCCTACCAAAACAGCCATTCTTTCCCTTTCTCTCAAGTTAGCATGACCTCAATATTTTGCTGAGAATATAGCTACCCAGCCAAAGGAATACATTTCCAACTCTCATTTGCTCATGAGGTCATGTGACTAAGGTCTGGCCAATGAGATATTAAAAATGCTGAGTGGGACTTCTGGTAGGTCTCCTTAAATAGGAAGAGTGTGTTCCTCTTTGTCCCATGGGCATGATGGCTGGAGGTGAAATCAGCACTGGGAGGTTGAGGATAAGTGTGATGAGGGCCACATCCTACTAACGACAGAGAAGAAGCCTGAGGCCTGGACGACTTCACAGGGTCCCGAGATGGTCTGTCTCCAGACTTCTCCTGTACAAGAAAGAAAGAAACTTCTATCCTGTCTAAACCTCTATTACTTTAGGGATGTAATTGTATGTAGCTAAATGTAAATCTAAATGATACACATAAACCTTTACTTTCTGCTGCACTGTGGTAGCCTGGCTTCCTGAATGTTCTACTCCATCCCTATCTATCATCTTGGTGGACTCAGTCAACCCTGAGCCTCCTTATTCTCCCTGTCATATTTAGACACATACTCCCCTCAGTTCCAGGCACCAGTAAAACCTTTAAGCTCCCACACTGATACACAATGCAGTTCCCTGTCCCAGAAAGTGGTCACATTAGGGCAGGGAATCAAGAAGCACTTGTCCAACGAATGGGATGCTTTGGCACAAATTGTTTTTCTTTTTCCTGCCCTCCTGGAACCATAAAGATAGTAGGACAAATCAGTGTGAGCTAGGATTTTTCAGAAGAACTGTGGGGGACTGAAGATAACTTAAAGAATCTACTGGAATTATAAGAGGATATATAGGCTACTGGGTCTGGAGAAGGAAGGAAGTTGTTGAGATTTTAGACAGTGGAGGTTTCTGCTTCCTGGGTGGAGTCCTTGTGGGAGAGATTGCCTGAAATATTGTCAGATTCAAGCAGCTCCACAATGCTGTAGGGAGAACAGTCCTCCAAACCCAGCTTGCTGCAGAGCCAGCCACAGAAGCCTTTCTCCATGTCCCGGGCAGCTTGCCACCAGGCTTCCCAGGACCATGAGAGCTGGACCACAGCTGCATAGAGGCCCAGGGAAGAGGCCATGGCCATGATGAGCACTGGATAGAAGAGAATGAGGCAGGGGCAACATGAGATCTTGTGCCAGAAGGTCCTCTCCTCGTTGTATACAAGGAAGATGTTATACCAGGTAATAGTGCCATAGTAGAAAGAAACAACGAAAGAGAGGATGAAAACCACAGGCAGGCAGACCAGTGTCCAGAGAACCACATGTGGCCCGCGGTCTGCTCCCATCTGGCAGGGCTTTCTTCCTTCAGGTGTTGTTTCCCTTGACAACTCTTTAGGCTTGGTCAATTCTTGCAGCTCCTTCTCTGTCAACGTGACATGGATGTCCACCATCTGACCCTTTTTCTTACCTCGTGTGATGGTCCCAGTTAATGTGACATAGCGGCTATCCAAAGGCATGTTCCACATACCTGCAGAGCACAAAGGAGGTGAAAGTCAAGATCAGAGGAGTGAACATTTCATCACAGTGTCATCCCCAGTGGTTGGGGATGAGTATGACAGTATCCTTTTCTTTCAGCCTCTGGCACAGTACTGGAGCCAGTGATTCAATGGTGGGCTGAACGAGTTTCCCACTGGGGGGCAATCACAGGTATTGCTACTCCCACAGTGAGCTCTCATTCATGAGTCTGGGCCCTGACAAAATTGTAAGGTGGGTTAAACTTGTTTTTCATACTCTCTTTCCACTTTTCTGGGCTTCAATCTTAGCACAATCTCTGTGACATGGAGGGGTGTGAGGAATTTTACTACAGATACCACTTTATAATGAGCTTATTCCAAGTTAACAAGTGCTATAAAAATACTGCTTATGAGTATCAACTACGGTGTGTAAAGATTGTACGTGTGCGCACTATACAGATGGGCAGCCCACCCCCTTCCCTTCTCACACCTATCTCTGTGCTTGCCTGAGAGGGGGCCTCCCCACTTGCCTGTGGACATCCCAGCCCTCATATCCAAGCTTGTATCCACACATAAACATGCCACCCACACATCACATACACCACACTCCCCCCACACCACATATGCCACCCACACCACATACAACCCCATGCACTATATACCACATATATGTATCACACACACCACACACCCCCATACACACCACATATACCCACGCCCACACTCATACCCACACCCAAACCACATACATCCCCCCACACTACACACCCCTACATGCATCGTACCACACACCACACACATACACTCCACTCACTCACAGCACACACCACACACAATGCACATACATACACCCCCACACACATCCACACACCACACCGACATGTGCACATAATACCTCATACACACTACACATACACCACCATACACACATTCCCCACACACATCACATATATACCCCATACACACACACCACATGCCACACACACACACACCACCTACACACACCACCAAACAGCCATCCTTTGACCACCCTGGAAGTGTGGTCGGTAGTAAATGTAATCTAAAATGTAGACAAGGAGTGTGTCTGTGGGAAAGGATTGGGGGAGTACAGGCTTTTGGTGGGCATGTCCCTTGGCCCTGTGGACTCCCTGGCCCATGGCTGGAGAGAGAGAGAATGGAGCCACCTAAAGAGCAGGGCCCAGGGAAATGAAAGGGTTCTGACTGCCCACACAGAAGGGTTGTACTGTTCTCCCCAAACCTAGTGGCTTCCCAGTCTCCTTCTTCTCAGTAAATGAGACCAGCCTCTATTTTCTCTGTTGTTCCTGTCAAAGACCCAGGAGTCATTGTCAATTCCTCTCTTTCCCTCACTCCCTACCTCCTACCCATCAGCAAGTTTCACATTGCATTCTGAACCCAGCCTCTCTTCTTTAGCTCTCTCTCCTGCTATCACCCTAGTCCAAGCTTCTACCTTAGCGCTGTTGTGGCTGTAGTAATACAACAGTCCCTTATCAGCTTCCAGTCGTAACCTTTACAATTCATTCTTTATAGAGAAGCCAGAATGATCTTCTGAAAATGTAAATGAGACAAAGTCTGTCCCTTGCTTAAAAGTTCTCCATTGACTTCTCCTTGCTCTTACAACAAATTCCAAACTTTTTCCTGTGAACTGCAAAGCCCCTCATAATCCAGCCCCCAACTAACTTTCTGACCTCTCACCATCCTCACGCAGAAATAAATACATTCCATAAATGGGGCCAATGTTGCTCTCACCTCAAGGCCTTTGACCCTGCCTCAAAGAGCTCTGCCCCCAATCTTTTCTTGGTTGGCTGCTTCATGTCATTTGGATCAGCTCAGACATCACTTCCTCAGAGAGACCTTCCAGGACCACGTAATCTCTCCCCTACCACCCTCCATCAGTTACTCGTCTTCCCAACACCATGGTTTTACTGTCTTTAGAACCTGCACCACTACCCGAAATTATCCTTATTTGCTGACTAGTTCACTCTCTGTCTTGTCTATGCTGCTTGTCTTGTTCTCTGTGGGCATATGTCATAGAGATCTATCCAACTACAAAATACCATCTTTATGGTTCCAGGAGGGCAGGGAAAAGAAATGCAATTTGTGCCAAAGCAGCCCATCCACTCGACAAGTGCTTCTTGATTCCTTGCCCTAACGTGACCTCTATTTGGGACAGGGAGCTCCACTGTGTATCAGTTTGGGAGCTTAAAGGTTTTACTGGTGCCTGAAACCCACGGGCATATGTGTCTAAATATGACAGGGAGAATAAGGAGGCTCAGGGTTGACTGAGTCCACCAAGATGACAGATAGGAATGGTGTAGAACATTCAGGAAGCCAGGCTACCACAGTGCAGCAGAAAGCCTCATTTATCCCTTGCTGCACAATAATCCTTAATACAGACAATCTGCAGCTTCATTAACATTCTTACACATACCTCCTTACACATGCATATCATGGGCAGAATTTGTGTGGGGTAGATATTGAGCATTTCTGGGACATAGGATATGCACATTTTGAATTTTAATAAATATCGACAGATTTCCCTACAAAGTGGTTGAAAAAAAAAAAAGTGGTTGAAGTGGCTTCCATTTCGACTTGAGGTATATGAGAGTATATCCATTTCCTCACACTGATGTTATCATATCTTACCCAATTTTTGGCAATCCTAGAAGTGAGGGAATACTATATCTCATTGTGGTCATAATGACTATTAGGAAAGCCAACAATTATTGTTTCTTTATCTTACATACATTAAGTAACTAATATTGTCTGCTTGTGTTATAATTTTTGTGTATCAATCAGCCTCTTCCATTATACTAGGGGTTCTGAAAAGGTGGAGAGCTCCTCTGCAACACCTAGAATAGAACATAATAGGTACTGAGTAAATATGTCAATTTGTTGAATGAAGACTGCCAACACTGCAAGGAGAAATGTATCACCAAGAAGAAATAGGTCAGTGAGCAAATGCCTGTCTGTCTGCTGAAGGATCCCCTTTCTGTTTCCTTTAGCATGGCTTTAAACAAAAGGCTCCAAAGAGACTCACCATCATCCACGGGATAGTCTAGGAAATCGTCTCCCTCCTCCTCTTTAGGCCCATCTCCACCTTCTGATTCCCCGGGCTCCACGTCTGTTTTCTCATTCTCTGACCGGTAGACGATGATAGATTCTGGGCGGGACTCTTTCTTTTTCTTTTTCCTGCGACCCATTGTGGATTCCGCATCCAGGGCCAGGGCAGCAGCCACAGCCTTCCTCAGAGAGCCCTGCTGGGGGCTTGGGAGCTGGCCTTGGCCTTCCACTGGTGCTGGCTCTTCCATCCTGGTCCTGACGTCTAGCTTTGCCCTTTGTCTGACTTGCTTGAACAAACTCACGATCCACACTTTACACAGCCTCTTCCTGGATGGGGCTACGCAAAGATGTCCTAAAGATGCATTTACCTGAAATATAGGAAAGCAGAGCCGTCAACAGGGTACAAGAAGGGCAAGACAGAGATTTAAGAAATGATCCTCAACATGGGGGAAGCCGTCTCCTCCTGATTTTTTCCCCTTTTTAGCAAGCAGCTTTTCTCTGCTGCCTTCTCTGTCCTCTGCTGATTTTCTTCTGTCTCCCTACTAGATTCACACGTGTTAGAGCTTACTCGACTTTGTATACTGGGCACTTAGCCCAGTGCATGGAATAAATGAGGTGCTCAGTGACAGAACTGGAAATCCTTACAGTTGGCTTCTACAGAATGAAATTAAACAAGTTTTGCTACATGCTCACCTGACTGCCTCAGGGGCCCATCCGAACAGGATGAGTACTTCTATCTTTAAATTCTTATGCATGGAACTTGCTGGAGTATGGGATTCATTTGGCTGAGGTGTCTAAGAGCACAAAGGTGTGTGCAAGAAGATTTAGGGCAGAGGGAATTCCCAAGGTAAACAGCTCTAGAAGATAAGGAACCCCACCATTGGAATACTGAGTAGGCCTTGGGGATTAATGAGCCCAATCAGGGCTCTTCTACCAAAGTAGCCCCAATACAGAAGACAATGGACATCTACCCCAACGCAATTGGTTATAGTGGCTGAACATGATCTTCCCCAAGGTTAAGGTTTTCAAGTTTTGTTAAAAATGTACATGAATTTTGAATTCTACTCTTTAAGTGTCTGTGTTTAATACGAGAATGCTTTCCCCAGTCCAAGTCCTGTAGTGGAACTGAGGCTCAGGAAGCCGCATCATGGAAATCCTATGACAGGGGTGACCTCTGAACAAACCACTTTATATCTACTTTTTTTTGGCAGCTGGCCAGTACATGGATCCAAATCCTTGACCTTAGTGTTATAACTCCATATACCTACTTACGGTACAAATAGCACAGCTATCACAGGTTGGGAACCTACTCTAAGCCCCGGTGTTTTTCAGCTTAGAGCTTCTGCTTTCCTCTGTAGTTTCCTGGGGCAGTTTGTGAAGGGTCTCCCCTGGCCTTTCTATAGTGAGAGTTTTCAAACCAGGGCTTGAGACCTCAAGCAGATTACAGGACCAGAGCTTCAGAGCTGGGACAAAGTTCACCCTCTGCACCCCTTTTCCCCTTTTTGTAAGATGTGCCAAGATGTTCAGAGGGAGACATGAATGCCAAGGAGTACTGGCAAGAAGGCAAGTTGCAAACCCTCACCCTTCCTATTCATTTGTTCGCTCTCTTTGTTGAGGGGGCAGTGCTGTAGGGACATGTGGCAGGGCAGAGGAAACACAAACATGGAGGTGATAACTCTTGTTAATGGCCTTCTATAAACATAAAAATATGTGGTGTTCTAACACTCCTGACTTGGGTGACCACAATGGGTGAGGCCAATGTTGGATAACAGGAAGAGCTTCCTGAGCCCAAGGACAGAATAACACAGAAAATGGAGGTTGAAAGCTTCAGAGTTTCCTGGGGATGTAAAGACAAACATGACCCTCTTTTCAGCTGATGGGAGTTAGGGAGAGACAATCCTATCTGGAGGCAAAGAAAGAGATGACATTTGAAGACCTCATTAAAAGCATTGACAGAAAATATGAAATATAAACAGTTGGTGAGCTCCTGGTAATTCACTTTGGGGGGACCATCATTTACTTCAGGACCAGTCAGTGTCTACTTGCAAAACAGGCACCCTCCCTGATTCACCTTGAAACAGGATTTCCTCATCTCCCTATAATTAGAACATTACTCTTTTAGACAGGTACCCAGCCAGGATCTACTTGCAAAACAGACACCATCCCCGATTCACCTTGAAACATGATTCCTCTCATCTGCCTGTAAGTACAGCATTATTCTTTGAGAATACAAAATGTTCCCACAAACTTAGGAAAAGATGGACTGTTGTTTAGCCATGGTAAAAAGTAGTCATCAGACCAGTTTTAAATCGGTTCAATTGACCAACAACTTCCCTCAGTGTCTTAGTCCATTTGGGATGCTATAACAAAATACCATAGACTAGGTAGCTTATGAATAACAAAAATTTATTTCTTATATTTCTGGAGGCTGGTAAGTTCAAGGTCAAGGCACTGGCAGGTTGGGTGTCTGGCGAGGGCCTTTTCTGGTTCACAGATGGTGCTTTCTCACTGTGTTCACACATGGTGAAAGGCACTTGCTAACTCTCTGGGGTCTCTTTTATAAGGGCACTAATCCTATTCATATGAACTCCAATCTCATGGCTTAATCACCTCCCAAAGACCTCTCATAATACCATCACCTTGGGGGTCAGAATTTCAACACATGGACATTTAGACCATATCACTCAGCAAAGATGCTTTTGGTTAATCCAACAGTCAGCCCCTCATTTCTGAAAGTCAATCAGGTAAGTGAGTCTGTCCCCAACTGGCTGACTTTCAAACCAGGGGCTGGCACTGATGGACTGGCTTTTAAAAACGTGTTCACTTAGGCAGTTGTTGATTGAACACATTTAAAACTTGTTCTGGTGGCTACTTGTTATCATGGCTACAGAATAAGTAGTCTTTTCCTAAATTTGTGGGTGCTCTTTATTCTCAGTTTGGTGTGAGGCTGAAATGAAATCAAACATGTCTCAGTACAGGTATATAAGTTATCTGTTGCTGTGTAACAAATTACCCCAGACTTAAAAGAAACCGGAACTGCCCTAGCTGGATGGTTAGTAGGCTTCTCTGCTTGCTTCCTGCCTCTACAATTTGGGGGTCTAAAGGCTTCTTCTTGTTTTATATGGTTTCTGAATCTTTTAGTGTTTTGTCAATATAGTTTTCTTAAAAACTCTGTGGTTCTCCTGTGAATAGTTCCTGTGAGTCAGGAGTATGAAAGTGCCTTAGTTGGTTCTGTTTTACGAGCTCTAAAGATGCCAGGTAAGGCTACAGTCATCTGAAGGCTTTAATGGGGCTGGAGAATCTACTTCCAAGATGGTTCACTTACATGGTGCTGACTCAGTTCCTCCCCATGTGGGCCTCTCCATGGGCTGTTCAAGTGTCCTCAACAGTGGCTGGCTTCCCCCAGAGTGAGTGATCTGAAAGCAGATATTCTTCTTGACCACTCCAACTCTACTGCTGATCCAATTTCTTCCTCATCCTTGATGTCCTTCCTCTCCAGTAGCTCCACCTTCTCCCTCCCACTGGCTCTGTCCCTATTGCTTTCAAACTCAAAGTTCCCTATCTAGAAAAAACAACTTTACCTTACCAGTTAGGCTATTTGATATTCTATTTCTTGCCTTCTTTCACAACCAAGCTTCTCTATCAAATAGTATGTAGCCACTCATTTCCAGTTCTTCCCCCTAATCCTCCACTGTCTCTGTTACCATCTTTTTCTTCCCACTCTGAAGTCCCTTCCCAACACAAACACATACGCACACACAAACACACACATACACGTCATCTGGAAAGATGGGGAATAGGCCAGGAAATTAGCACTTATCAAGCCTTATGTGCCAGGCTGTAAGGTAAACTCTTTATGTTACTTCATTTGCATGTCTCAGCCAGCATATCAAGTATTTTATTTTCCTCACTTTACATATTAGGTTCATCCATGTTAAGTAAAGAAGTGAGAGAACTTGGATTTAAGCCAATACTTGCATAACTCCAAAGCTCAGGATTTTCCCACCAAGATTTAGAAGAAGTCAAGTATTAGTGGCTACAGTGGACAGGTGATGTTTTTTATTTTCATTTGTTTGTCTGGTTTGTTTTGTTCTGCTGTGCAGAACCCCATTCTTCCTTCCTTTGATAACAGGCCCATTCTTTCCTGTGAGGAATACAATCTTGAAAGTTTCTGATGTGACCACAGTGACCACTTTACCATTCTTATTCTCCTTGTCTACATCAGAGCCTTTCTGTCTGCTAATTCCCAAATCTCTCTTGAAGCTTCCTTTACCTCCTTTGACTTTCTATGCTCACTTTCTTGTTACCTCTCAAGCCCTTCTCTCTTTTTACTCCCTTATCTGCCTTCTCCATCCTGTAATTGCCATTGGTCTTGAGACTGTCCTCTATTCTCAACAGCACATTCACTTCTTCCTGTTGAAATACACAGCCTTCTTACCCACAGCTGTAGGACCAATTCTATGCGAAGAATGCCTATGTATCGATCTCAAGAATGTATCTCCAGTAGCCAAGTGGGTATTTCCAAATCGAATCTCTCGTCATTCTGCCTAAGCACGTTCAAACCAAACTCATTGTCTTTATTCCCAGTAGACAAACTCTCAGTATTACCAAGAGGAGAGAAGAGGGAAGGGAAAGAAGAAAGAGGTGGAGAGGGAAACTCGACAACATTTATGGAGTGTCTATTTTCATAGAACAGAACATTTGCTTACTGCAGCATGTTAGGTTCTGCATTAATTGCTTATTCAGTTAATTACCCATTCAATAGATATTTATTGAATAATACTATGTGCCAGATATTGCACAGTTGTTCTAGGCACAATTTTATAAAGTAAGTACTATTTTGCTTGGACTTAGGAATTGTAAAGAGTAAAACTTATTAGATGTTTACTGTGTGCCGGGTGCTGTTCTAAGTACTTTACAGTAATCATATTGTTTAATCTTCACAACAAACTAATGGAGTAGGTACTATAATTATCCCAATTTGCTCAAGGTTACATAAACAGTAAGTGGTGGGGTTGGACTTCACAGCCAGGTTTGCTCACTTCAAAACCCATGTTTGTTCCACTGTACCATACTGCCTGCCAACATTTACCCAAGGTTCTATAACTTATACTTCTAGAGATTTCTTTAATAAACGCATTTCCTCTATTAAGGATATATTCCTGTATTCCTAATAATAATTAGTCTTTAAGTCCTGCTAATCATTCTTATGAGATCTCTTTGTTAATCTGTTCATTTGAATTTCTCTTGCTACCGTATGCTAGAATACAGCCTTCACATTACTTTCTCCAAGCTGGTTTCTCTCTCTTTCATTTCAGAATTCTACCTCTACTGTTTTAATAAAACAAAACGTAATTTTTATTTTGTCCAGTAACTAATACTATCCTGCCATTTCTTTCTAAAATATATCTAAAGAGTCTGCCTGGTGTTTAAGGCTCTCCATTTTCACCCCCACCCTACCCCCGACTCCAGGATTCAGTAGCAATTTTCCCTCTTCCCTTCCCCACAACATGACTGCTCAACACATTTGCTTGTGTTGGTTTCTTCACCACCTTCACTCTTCTCCACCTCTTTCAAGACTGGCTCAAATCTGACTCACTCGTTCATGTTCTGTGATGACCCCAGCCCACAAGTCTCTCCCTTCCCACCCCAACCCTCTGTTGAGGAGTGTGGTCAGAATTCAATGAATGGTCAAGTGTAAAATGTCTCGTAGGTGACCGATACTCCATACATGTTAGTTTCCATTCCCCTTCTTTTGCCTCCTCCCACTCTGTATTTCAGTAGCATTTGTTATCTGTATCATACTTTTGGTACTTAATTATGCAGTATTTCATCTCACTGTGTTGATACGGATGGTATGACATAGATGGAATTTTCATTCATCTCCCCAGGTAGATTGCAAACTTCTAGAGATCAGGAACTGTCTTATACTTTTTCGTCACCATTAACGAGAAGGCCCCAGGGCTGGCGATATAGCAGAAAGTCAGTATGTAGTTGTTGACCTGATAGTACAGAGAAGAAGGGAAAATGCCTATTCAGAAACATGATATAAACAACCTTTAAGAGAGGAAGGCTTGTGCACTGCTTGGGAGTGCGGTGGCGCTACCGCCGAGGGTTCAGATCCCACATACGGACCGGTTCCTGCTCACTGGCTGAGCGAGGTGTGGGAGCAACACCGAGGGTTGCGATCCCATTGCCGGTCCCGGTCTGGTATGGGCGCGACACTGAGGGTTGCTATCCATTGCCAGACACGAAAAAAGACAAAAAGGAAAAAAAAAAAAAAAAAAGAGAGGAAGGCTTAATTCTCTTCCGCATTTTCGTACACTTTATTATGCTGTTAGTATTTGACCTCAGAAGCATATTCTGAAAATCACTACTTCCTTTTGGAGACCATAAGAGAGGGTAAAATTTTTTTTTACCTAGTTTTCACGGCTTTAATCAGTAGAATTAAGAGACAGGACTTTGTTCTTTTCTATGGAAGTTAGCCTTTTCCCATCCTCCATCTCCACCCCCAGTCCAAAGATTATTAATCCACATTACATTGCAGAGTGTTAACCTCAATTAACCATTAGCTCTGGACTCCTGGTTATCTGAGGGTGGAACGGAAGTTTTAAAGAAACTTCTGGGCTGGCTGATTAACTCAGTTAGTTAAGAGTGTGGGGCTGATAACACCAAGGTCCAGAGTTTGATCCCTGTACTGTCCAGGTGCCAAAAACAAACAAACAAACAAAAAAGAACATGCTTATACCCTGGAACTTATGCTTAGAATAACTGGTTTTAAGCCACTCTTGAAAGAAATTCTGCAGATTATTCTTAAATTCATCCATCAATTTTCCCATCTCCACTACTACCATTCCAGTCTACGAGGCCATCATCTGTTACCTATGGTTCTAAAAAATGCTCTTATCTTTTGGCTTTCACTATTGCTGCCTTCCATTTAATTCTCCACTCAGCAGTAAGAAAGATCTTTTGAAAACATAAACAAAATCTTGCCATTTTCTGCTTAAATCCTCCTGTGACTACCCATTGCTATAAAATGAAATCCAAACTTTTCATGTGGCTTAAGGATCTGCAGGACCTGGCCCCTCCCCGTCCTGCCATCTCATACTATATCACCTCCCTCATGCAACTTTGCTCCAATCACTCTGGCTGTCTATTCCTATCTATTCTTCAAGAGCTTTCCCACATGAGTCCTTAAATGCTGTCAACCTTGGCTTATACACTGCTTCACCCTGCTCCTTCACATGGACATCTTTTTTTCCTAAGTCTCTGCTCAAATGTCATCTCCTCTGAGGCCTTCTTGACACTCAGCTAAAAAAGGCTCCCTGTCCTGCCTCTCCTTATTCTTTATCACAATAGCCTGATTCCTGTATAGAACTCATTAACATTTATTATATGTATTTTTTCTTTTACTTGTTTATTGTCTATCTTCTGTATTAGAATATAAGCTCTGTGAAGTGATACCATACAAGTAAGCCAGCGAGTGGGTATTAAATAAAACTTTTTAAGTGACTGGGTGAAGTGGTAGCCATTAAGGACTATCCTATTCTGTCAAAGACTGAGACTGGAGAAAAGTTTAATAAAGTGAAATTAATACACTTCTTTATATGTCTAGTTATAGCACAGTTGTCAGGTGCTCCTCCTTAATCTATTTTCTCCTTTTTAATACTGGAAGTTTCAGCTGGTCACATGGCTTCCCTGGTAAAGATAATACTTCCCAGCATCCCTTGCAGCTCGGTGTGAACATATGATTAGTCTCTGGATGTGAGTAGATGTGGTGTGTGCAACGTCTCTGTCTGGCCCTCTCCTTCCTCTTTTCACCTTCTTGAGGGCTGAATGAGCCATGTGCAGCTCACGCAAACAAGGGCATGAGCTGAGGATAGCAGCAGAATGAGATGGAAGGAGTAAGAGCCACCCTAACACTCATGAACGCTCTTCCTCTGGACTGTAATATGAGAAAAAAAATATCTGTCTTGTTTTAATCCATGATTATTTTGGTCTCTTAAGGCACCTACACAGAAATCCTAACCAGTACACTGGGACTGTCCAAGGTTATTTTATATCTCAACCCCAAATTACTCCAACTCGTCAACCCTGGGGCATAGGCAGATCTTGATGTGCATTTTAGAATTAGATCATAAAATGGCATCATCCCTGATAACAGGTGGTTCAAGCAGTTTCGATTCTCCTCGGTGGGCCAGGAATTCTGAAACTCAGCTGGCTAGTACAAAGGATATCACATAGATACTGGTTCAAGCTCCACCAGCAACCCGCTGGAGGGCTCAATACTGTATATGATACTATTACCTGCTTGTAATGAGGTGGACAACACTGTACCAAAGGAAGTATTGTTAAAAGAAACCAACAGTTCTTAGACATTCAGTAAAAATCCAAAGACTCACAACACAACAAAATGAGTATACTTACCCAGCTATTGCATCTTTGTAGGGATAAGTCATTAACAGCAAGTCTGGTCATTACTCCTTGCTGGCCAGTTCCCATCCAGTCAGTCACTCAGTCACTAACCTCTACCTCAACTCACAGTGGTGGTTCATGGGCCTCTCACCATCAGGTATGATTTCCCTGTAGTCTGCTCACACTTCTCTGCTCCCAGTTGGCCACTGGAGCATACCTGATCCACTGTCTTCTCCAGACACATCCAGATACTTGGACATATAAGCAGAACTTGTAGACTTGGTAGGTGGAAAAGCCAGGAAGCTTTCCAGCCCTTGCTCTTATGTTCATTGCAGGGAAGCAAGTGACATTTACATATGAAGTATGGCTGAAATAAGCTAATAAATGGCAATGAGACCAAGCCTTAGCATCTGGAAACATTAAGGAGTGGTGGGGACTATGGTAAGCACAAGAACTCAGGTCTGATCTAAAGGAGGAAGCTACTGTTCCCCTCTCCTCCACCCACCAAGCCTGCTGTTCAGCCATCTCCTTTCCTAGAGAAAGGCAGGCCCATTTGGTATGAGTTGTCTAAAATTTCATGTGAAATTTTCTGATTTTAATTGTTGCAATTAGTCCAAATTTAAATAAATTACTGTGTGGACAAACAACCAAACCAAAACACAAATGGGTTGCCATTTTGCTACCTTCGGATGACAAAGTTTCCAAATCAAGGTGTGCCTGCTCCATCTGGTTAAGAACTTTAGGAGTTGACTTTTTGCACCTTTACCCATATTGAACCTGAACTACTGTGAGGTTAGGTGCTGTGAGGGTGGAGTGTCATAATTTTGAAGTCAATTTACTACCAGTACAGTGAATTGTTCCTTGCCTCAGTCCCACTGTTCTTACAACTTTTCTCTGATTTGAATATCTTTCACCCCAAGGGCCACATATCACCTGTCTGGAGTGGCCAGACTCTCCCAATTACATCTTGGGTTTACCACCATTAAGTTTACCACCAAGTAGGAAATAAAATGCTTACCATTTTACAACTGTAAATTACCATTAGCCCCTCTCAGAAAGACCGTTTCACCAATATAAATACAGAAAGGAATTTGGCTCAGACTGGTGTCAAATGACTGGATTCTGATGTAACAGCATCTTGAAACTCCCAGCCTCCAGCCAGTTGCAGATGGGCTGTGAGCACAGTCAGGCTGCAGCCTGTCCCCTCATGGTCCTGTGAGCAGCATTTCTCTTGTCATTGCCTATCCTACCTGGTCCTGAGAGGCTCTCTCCCTGAAGTAGGTTCATCATGTAGAAAGCATTTGATTATCCAGAGGAAACAGTTCTGGGCAGTGAGGGTAGCTGCTTACAAGGAGAGCCATAAAACCCAATCTTGGCTACTTGGTCTTTTGTTGGGCTATTGTCCTACCTCTCATGGCACACATACCCTTTCCATCCCCCACTCCCACTCCCAACATACCTACCTGCTAGTATATAAACTGTATAAAGGCAGAGAAACCTAATTCTCTTGTTGACTGCACCACCTCCCCAGTGCCTAGAACAGTGCCTGGCACATAGCAGGTGCTCAGTAAATCTTGGCTGAATATTGTCAACTGGTTAAGAGTCATTCATGTGAGCTGGCTAAGGAGTGGTCTTGCCTCAAGGTGGGGGTGGGACTAGATGCCTTATTGACATTCCTTCAGCACCAAGATTCTGTGATTCTCAATGTTGAGAATCCCACAAGCCGCTGTCAGTGTGAGCCAGCAGCTGCTTTGCAGAGGGAGAAAATGAACTTACCAGGCAGATGGGGTGCAGGAGGGGTGAGAAGATGGGTAAGCAGCAAGAGCATCTCTGAAGATGAAGGGAGTCATTGCAAATGGGCTGTGACAGAGCAGGAGTGTGGAAGGATCATGACCACAGCTACGCCTTTTTCCCCAGGATAAAGGGGACAGTGATGCAGAGTGAGGAGAAGAGTGAACTTTGACCCAGCCAAAGGAATGGTCAGTGCAGTGTGTTGTGGTTGCCCTGAGAAGAGAGGGCTCAGCCTGGGGCCAGCATTAAAATCTGAAAACAAAGAGCTTCCAAGCAGCAGAACTATTGCTGTGCCTCCCAGCCTTTTGAGGTTATCAGAGTTTCAAATCCTGACTGAGGTCAGAGGCAGAAGCAAAGAGACCATGCCTCCTTGGGTTTTTAAAAAAAGATGGCTTGAAGAGACCCTGCATCTCTCACAGGTTCTACCTAGACTGTGAAAAAGAGCTTTCTGATCTTTTTCTGCTCATTCAGCAGCTTCCTGCAGCTGAGGAATGGCGCCTGGTCATCCTTAGTGGGCATAACTGGCTTGCAGCCCCCAGTCACCTTTTCACTGGAAGACAGTCACAATCCCTTTCTCAGTCCACTCAGTGGCCACACAGAGGCTGCACTACAGCCAGGCCTATACTGTCCCACCCTGGGACATCTCTGAGAATTCACAGGTCCAGACCCGGTCACAAACCACATTAAATTAAATTACAACTTTGATAAAATTATCTTTAAAAGGAATTTAACATGACCCCACCCCCAAGAAAGTCTGAAATTTTCTGGAATAAGATGCTCTTCAAAATTCAGTCAATATTTCCTTTCCTGTTTAAGAAAAATACTTTGTCATTGGGCACCAGGAATTATATATTTTTTGCAACAATACTTTGAACTTTCCTATTTAAACTTACTTTTTTTAAAAAAGGAGGTGACGGTATCATAATTTTTTAAAAATTTGGTCATAACTATATAACTGACTTAAATAGTAGAAGTAATTGATTCCTCCATAAACTCTCTAGCAAATAGGAACCAGAAAAGATTTCTTCCTTTTAAAAAATAAGTCTACACCAGAATCTGTCAGCATCGAAGGCAGAGGAGGATTTGTTTCCAAAAAAAAGGTCAGAGGAGGGCAGGGGGGTGGAGGAACAGGGAGGAAGTGTAGCCGAACAGCAACTTGGCCAGTGGGTGGGACCCAGTGGAGGAAGTGATGTCTGATTCCACTCCCAATCAGACCCATTTCCAATTTGTTTTGTGAATCCTAGGCGGTGGACCCAACACAAAGATGATGACATTTGTTGCCTTTTATATCTTTGTAACATCTGGTATGAGAAAATACAGCACTCTGACAACAGATTTAGAATTAGCATCTTGCCTGGATTAAGACCACTGCACCTGACACATTACCTAGATCCGCCAAATTCTTAAAGCGAAGAAATCCCACTGGGCCAGTCCAGGTGTAATCTCACTCTGGTAGGTTAACGGTGTGAAGCAAGATGAAAAATAAGAAGCAGAATCTGAATAATAAATCACTGTTACTGGTCACTAAAACACGGATGAGAAATTTTCCCCACCTTCAGCAGCTCGCCTTTCTGCATAGGGAAAGAACTAGAGGACAGCATTTTAAACATACACCCACAGATGCACCTTGCAGGAAGCATGCGCCCTGCAATGAAAGATCCTCTTTTGGACTTGTTACGCAGCCCGGATGAAACGGATCAGATCTCAGATGTGGTAAAGGTTGCTGAGATGGCGGTGGGCCCGAGTTTATTTTTTAAATCATTTATTATCTTAGTTCAATGGATAACAGAAACCATATCTTGCAACCAGATCCCCTCTTCACCTTCACTCGCTTCCCCTGGCTCCCTCCCGAAGGACGAAGGGATATTCATGAACGATGGAGGGGTGAGAGGATGAAGGGAAGCTGATTTCTTCCCCTCTGCTAAGCCTGCCCCTTCTCCCCTTCACAGCCAGCGGCAACAGCAGCTGCAGCCCCGGCATCGCCTGACGACGTCGGCGGAGGCAGCTAGGGCCCCGCGATGCAGCCTTTCTTTTTCTAGATGCACTGGGGATTTAATTTTAATTAATCGTGAGAACTATAGCACTGAGGATTGAATTTTCAAAACAGAGCACCCTCTCTCTCTCTCTCTCTCTTTTTTTTTTTTTTTTTGGTCTTTCCCTTCTCCCGTCCCCAATGGCATCGAAATTTTAAAAAGGCACAAGGAGTCTCACCCATAAATGCCCGGGGACCGACGCCGGCGGGGGATGCCGACGGGTCAGAAAGCGGCAGCGAGGGAGCGGCCCTGCCCTCGGAGGATGCAGAGGAGTCGCGGGGCGGGGCGGAGGGCGGGGCGAGGGACGGGCCCGCGGGGCGGGGCGAGGGCGGGGCAAGGGCAGGGCCGAGGGGCGGGGCAGAACTGCGGTCACGTGCGCACGGCCAGTTATCCTCACCTTCCTGCGGTGACCCGAGACCGAGACAGGCCTGCGTCAGTCATCCGTCCTCGATGGGCTCTTCTGTCAAGGTCGGGAGCTGCCTGGTTGCCGGCTTGCTGCGGGACCAAGTGGCCATCGTCACTGGCGGGGCCACCGGCATCGGAAAGGCCATCGCGAGGGAGCTCCTGCACCTGGGTACGTTAGCAGACCCTGAGTGAGGGATCCATAGAGACACGGCTGGAGTGACCTGGGCTCGGGAGCCAGGGGCGCTAGGCGAGGCTGGGAGAGCGTGGAGTTGCAAATCGAAGCGGGTGTAGATGGGAGCGAAATTACCACCGCCAGCGAGAGGGAAAAGAATTCTTCCTCAGAAATTGTGGAGAAGGGTTGGACGATGAGCCACTAGTTATAAACTATAGAGAATGCTTAGAGCCAAAGATACTGTGCCCGAAGTAGGCAATGAGGAAACCTGTGAAAACATGCTGTGGAATTAATTGTACATTCACATTTAAAATTAATTCGTTCTGTATATTGCCTCATCTGAGTGATTAGTATGACAAGACTTCATTTAATTGGAAAAGGCTTTAAACATATTGAGAGGCTCCCATCATATTCTCTTCTCGCATCTCATTATAAGCACAGCGAGAAAATATAGTGAAAATTTACCTTGTAAAGGTAAGGGCCTTGTAAACACATAAACAAGGGAAGAAACCACAGAAGGGGAAAATAGATAAATTTATCTATATGAAAATGTGAATCTTCATTGAATTAAACAAAACAACATAAATAAAGATTAAAGCCATATGTAATTGTCTAAACACCCCAGTTAAAGACACAGGTTGTCAGATTGGATGAAAAAGTAATATCTAACTATATACTCCTACAAGAAATACACTGTTAAGTATAAAGACACAAATAGGTTAAAAGTAGAAGAATGCAGAAAAGATATACCAGGCTAATACTAATCAAAAGAAAATTGGCATAGTTATATTGATATTAAACAAAGTAGATTTCAGAGCAAAGAATGTTACCAAGGATAAAGAGGTGGATTTCACAGATAAAAGGTCAATTGAACAGGAGGACATATTGGTACAACCAATTTGACAGTTTCTTAAAAAGTTAGACATTCACGTATGACACAATCCAAACATGCTCCAGGTATTCAAGAGGAATAAAAGCATATGTTTATACAAAGACTTTTACACAAAGTTCATAGCAGCTTTTTTGGTAATAGTCAAAAAGTGGAAACAACGCAAATGCCCAAAACAAGTGAATGGATAAACAAACTATGGTATATCCACACTATGGAATGCCACTCAGCAATAAAAAATAATAAACTATTGATACAAGCAATAACATGGATAAATCTCAAAATAAATATGGTAAGTGAAAAAATCAAGACATGCAGTATATCCTACTCACTTTGATCTTTGCTGGCCAGTCTCTCTTCCCATCTGGTATCATTTTCTTTCTGTTTGGACACTTCCTCTCATCTTTTTTTGTAGTGCAGGTCTGCTTTGATAAATTCTTCCAGCTTTCATATATGTGAAAAAGTTTTTATTTTGCCTTCATTTTGGAAAGATATTTTCATTTGTTAAATTTTGCCTTAATTTTTGAAAGATATTGTCAAGATTTCTAGGTTCCCAATCTTTTTTATTTTTTGCTACTTTAAAGCTGTTTTTGCACTGTCTTCCAGCTTGCATTATTTCTGAAAGAAGGCTTTATCTTTTTTGTTCTGTACTTAATGTGTTGTTTTTCTCTGGCTGCTTTTAAGATTTTTCTCTTCAGGGCCGGCCTGGCCCGTGGCTCACTCGGGAGAGTGCGGTGCTGGTAACACCAAGGCCACGGGTTTGGATCCTATATAGGGATGGCTGGTTTGCTCACTGGCTGAGTGTGGTGCTGACAACACCAAGCCAAGGGTTAAGATCCCCTTACTGGTCATCTTTTAAAAAAAAAAAAAAAAAAAGATTTTTCTCTTCATCGCTGGTTTATTCAATTATATCGTCAATGTCGTTTCTGGATCTGTTTTTATTAATTGGTTTATCTCCTCATTATGGGTTATTTTTCTACTTTTTTGAATGCCTGGTAGTTTTTTGTTGGATGCCAAACAGTTGAATTTTACCTTGTTGAGTGCTGGCTATTTTTATATTCTTATATTCTTATAAATATTCTTGAGCTTTGCTCTGGGATGCAGTGAAATTACTTGGAAACAGTTTGATACTTTAAAGAGGCTTGCTCTTAAATTTTGATCCGAGCAGCCTTTAGTCTATGGCTAATTTTGCTTCACTGTTAAGGTCATCCTCTTCTGAGTACTTTGCCCAATGCCCCGAGAAGGATTTTTCCTGGTGGCCACACTAACTATTCCCAGTGCTGAGTGCCAGGATTTGTTCTCTTTTCTCATTTTGGGAGGTTCATTCCATTGTTTATTTACTCCCATGCACTGATCAGTACTCAGCTGAAGATTCAAGGGAGATTCTGCAGATCTCTGGAGTTCTCTCTGTGTGTACCTCTTTTCTCTCTACGCCCTGTGTAATCTAGCTACCTTGGCCTCCCTGGACTCGCAACTTTATCTTTTCCATCCAGGGAGGCTCCTGGGCTCTGAATGGGTTCTTCCTCCCGCACTGTAGTCTGGAAGCTCTGTCCAGGCAGTAAGCTGGGGTAATCATAGGGCTCATGTTGTTTGTTTCCACTCCTTCAGAAATGACTGTCCAGTGCTACTTCATGTCTAATGCCCTGAAAGCTGTTTCTTCATAGTCCAGTTTTTAGTTGTTTCAGGCTGGAGAGTAAATTCAATTCCTATTACTCCATCTCATCCAGAAACAGAAGTCCAGTTCATCTTTTTTTTATAGGAACACACAAAATATATTCAAAACATTATTATTGTTGGCAACTTATGAAAGCATATTTACGTGTTCTCTGGCTGTTTTCTTCTCAGGGAGTAATGTGGTCATTGCATCCCGAAAGCTTGATAGATTAAAATCTGCTGCAGAGGAACTAAGGGTTGGCCTGCCTCCCACCAGCCAGGCTCAAGTCACTCCCATGCAGTGCAATATCCGGAAAGAAGAGGAGGTAATGCAGAGGGATCCGTATCGTCTATTCACTCATTTTAATTTACAGCAGTGTTTCCTGGCTGTGCTTCAGGTTCTGCTATGATAGCTGTCTTAGATGAGGGTTACTAGAAGCAGAGCCTGTGAAGGAGATTTTTGCCTTAATGATTTACTTAGCTGGTGACCTCAGGAGAAGGAGACGGGGGAAAGCAAGACAGGGGAGCTAAGTGAGGACATGATCTCAGCTAGAGACTACCTTTTGCATCTTTTGCCTTTTAAGTCATTTCTCAATATTCCTTTTAACCTGATTTCATCACTACCCATTATCGTGGTTGGCAGCTTACGAATTAACTGAGGCCTGCCCTACTTAGGGGTGATCCAGGCCCTTGGATATATCTTGTCATCAAAATTACAACTTTAGCTTTATGATCTGTGAGTACTGGATATTGGTAAATATCTCATTGGTGTAAGATCTTTTAAGTTTATTCATTGCTAACTTCATGTTCATTTGTCGCGGTACTCAGAGTTACTTGTTCACTGTGAGAGATCGCAAGCTCCATTATGCTACTAGAGCAAGCAGTCAGTCCAAGTGGCCAGTTATGTTATTATAGTTTTGCTTTTTATGTTTTTTTTTAGGTGAATAATTTGGTCATGTCTACCTTGGGTATTTATGGTAAGATTGACCTCTTGGTGAACAATGGAGGAGGCCAGTTCATGTCTCCTGCTGAACATATCAGTGCTAAGGGGTGGCATGCTGTGATCGAAACCAACCTGACGGGCACCTTCTACATGTGCAAAGCAGGCAAGTGTCATCATTATCCACAAAAATCAATGTGTCTTTATTTAGAGATTGTAGACAATCCTGAAAGAGAAACTGTTAGGGACTCAGAAGCCCCATGTCATTAACATTTACTGCCATGATTTTCTCACATACAACACAGGTATGTAAATTGGTACATTTCTGGACAGTAAGTTGGCAATATTTAGAAAATATGGATAGCCTTTGACTTTATAATTTTATTTCTAGGTGTTTATCATGAGAAAATTATTGATGATCTGTACAGAAATTCAGCTACGAAATTGTTCATAAAATTAGAGAAAAGCCTCACACTTATTTTGTTTTTAAGTAAATGTGTTAAATCTGTTAGAAAGACCAATTTATTAATTTAGTCTTCAGAGAGAATACCAGAGACAGAGTCCACATGCTTTCTAAAAACTAATGGGCATACATGAATAGTCTTTGGATTAGAGATTATGTTTCATAGGTGGTTAATATTAAACTCCTGAAGTTGGGTAACTCAAGGGTTTCTTTACAAATTACTCAAGACATTCTTATGATGAAAAATGTAAAACAAGTATAACTGTGACCCAAAGGGTCTTCACCCCGACATGGGTTAGACATTATATTCTTGGTATCTGTAAGTCAAAGGTCTTGCAGACATTCCCAGTCTTTATCTTTGTCTAACTAGCAGTATAAAGCTCTGTATAAGTATAAAGCTCTGTGATACAGAACTGACTACTCTAGTGGAAGGATCCAGAAAAAATAGAGGCTTATTTCTCTCATAAAAAGTCCAGGTAGGTAGTCTAGGGGATAGTATGGTAATTACATAATCATTAGGGACTGAGGACCCTTTTTATTGCTCTATATTCTTGACCTGCAATTTCCATCTCAGGGTCCAAGACGGCTGCTCCAGTTGCTGCCATAATATCTGCGTGTTCCAGATATGCTGTCTGAAGGCAGATATGATGGCAGGAACTGGGAAAAGTGGAATGCTCACTCATTCCTTTTAAGGGCACCATATGAAAGTAGGACCAGTGTGTTTACTCACTTTTATCAGCTAGAATTTAGTTAAATGATCATACCTAGCTGTAAAGAAGGTTGGAAAATAGAGTCTTTAGGTGGGCAGCTATGTGCCTAACTATAAATTCTATTTCTTTGTAAGAAGGGGAGGATGAGTATTGGGAGAGAACTAGTTGTCTCTAATCCAAGCTCCATAACTCAGTGTTTTTACTTCTTCCAGCATGAGTGTCAATAGTCTCACCAATCTGAGTTTCCTTGCTAACAACTATTAATTAGAAGTCTGCAGAGTCTAGACTCAGCCATGATTTTTATTAGCCAGGACTGATTTAAATAATACAGGGTCTTTAGTTTTTTTTTTTTTACTTAAAAAAATAGGACTTTTAATCCATGTTGAGGAGCCAGGAAAAAGAAAAAAAAATAGGGCTTTTAATTTATGGTTTCTATGAAGAGAAATATGAAGTTTATATATATATATATTATTCCATGGTAATAATCATGAAAAACTGAAAACCATTTAAATATTCTAGAGTAAATAATAGTTGAATGAAGTTTGTACATTTATACAGTATAGTGCTATATAGCCATTAAAAATACTGGTGTAAAAATGTACTTATTGACATGAAAAAATATTCCCAGACATCATTGTGGGAAAAAGCAGGTTATAAAACATTCTATACCGCATGATCACATTTCTATAAAAAATGATGTATATAATAGTACACATACACATATATATATACACAGTAGTACACACTAATAGTATATATATATTTATGTGCATACATATATGAATAGAAATAATTCTGAAAGAGTTTATACCCAAATATTTTTTTTTTTAAAAAGATGACCGGTAAGGGGATCTTAACCCGTGGCCTTGGTGTTATCAGCACCGCACTCTCCCGAGTGAGCCACGGGCCGGCCCTATACCCAAATATTAACATACTTCTTCTGGGAGGTAAAATTTACATGTTATTCTTTCTTCTAAAATAAACATATTATTTATTCAGTTAAAATGATTTAAAAGATTACCTCCCTGGAGTCCCCAGCTTCCTTTAGCCTGTACTCTTTGACACAATGTGCTACTGTTAAAGAATTGTGAAAAAAAATCCACATAAATATTAGTGGTGAATTTGGAGTTTCCTATAGCCTTTTATTATTCATTTTACTAATATAGGAATTTTTCCTCAATTTGTTTTTGGAAAAAATTTTATCTATGGAAAAGTTGAAGATGTATTACAATGTACACCAGTATGCCTTCATTTAGATTCACAAAGTGCTTACATTTTGTTCCATTAACCTTATCTCTTTCTCTTGTTACATACACACACACACATGCACACATACTTTTTTATGAACAATTTGAAAGTCAATGAACACACATTGTGGCACATTATACATCTCTTAAGAATAAAGACACATTTTCTGTATACAAACTACAGTACCATTATCACACCCAAGAAAATTAACAGTAACTTAATAAAATCCCTTATATAGTCCATATTGAAATTTCCCTAATTGTTCCCTCCTTGTTTTTTTTGATCTAGGATCCTTAAAAATTCATGCATTGCATTTGTTTGTTATGTCTCTGTAGTTTCTGATTATCTAGAAAAATCCATGTTCTTTTTATTTATTTATTTATTTATCTTTCATGACATTGACTTATAAAGTATCCTAAATACTGGATTTCTCAAATTTTTTTGTGATAATTAGATTTATTTTAAATATTTCTGGGAAGAATCCTACATATATGCTATACATGAGAATACTTCAAAAAGTTCTTGAAAAAATAGAATTAAAAGAGAATATGAATCTTTCCATGAACTTTTTGAAATATCCTCATATGTACTTCTTATTGCATTACATCTGGAGGTCTTTGGTTAAGGTTGTTTTTCTTTTTTCCTTGCCTCCCCTACCTCCATCTCTTAAGTACTATTATTGATGAATGGAATTTTTATTCAATATAATAAACCACTATAGTCATTTTCTTTATAATGCCCAAGTTATCTTAAATTTGGCCAGCAGAAGCCACTTTAGTCTGGCTTTTGTGTCTTTTTGACATGGCTCAGACCTATTTCTCCAAAGAGCTCTAGTTCCATTTAGTAGGGGATGATTTTTAGAGACCAAGATTTGGTACTAAGTGTGCTCACTGTTACTGGGTTATCACTACTTTTAGGCATTTTCAGTGAGCAATGTTAGGAAATAAAAAACATTTCAGTGAGCAAAGCTAGGAAATAAAAAACATTTTAAGAATATGACAAAAATAAGTAAGCAAAGATAAAAGACAAATGACAAACCGGGAAGCATCGTTCTAACTTATCTCACAGAAGAAGGATCACTATCTGTAATATATACAAAGGTTCTAAAATTAAAGAAGAAAAACCAATAACCATATAGGCACATGCAGATGGCTCTTAAACATGTGAATAGGTACTCGCCCTTGTTCATAATATGAACAATGCAAATTAAAACTGCATTGCAGTACCATTTCTTACCTAACAAATTGGCCAAAATCCAAAAGTTTGGCAACATACTCTGTGAGGCTTTTACCCGTTGACCCAGCCATTTCACTTTTAGCGATATATCCCAAAGATATACTGGCAAAAACTATTTTTTTAAAAAGAGCATGACAGTGCTGTCCATTGCAGCACCATTTGTAATAACAAAAGTCAGGAAGCAATCCAGATGTCCATCAGCAGGGGACTGGTTAAATAAACAATGGTATATCCATCCATCAGCTAAAGACGTACTATAAAATATCTCTATTTACTACTGTAGAGGGATCTTCAGGATCTATTGTTCAGTGCAAAAAGCAAGGTGACTAAAAGTGTGTAAAGGATGATAATTTATTTTTAAAAGGTATGGATATCTGCAAATATATATGTGTATGTATATGTGTGTATATGGGTGCTTATATTTTTTTAAAATTGAAGAATAAGTCATTAAACAATAGTTACTTAAGGGGGAGGAAGAGAATAAGATGTAAGGAATTGGATACAGAAGTTAGATGATTTTGAATATATCATATTTTATAGATTTGCCTTTGGGACCATGTGAATATTTTAGATAATTACCAAACAAAATTAAGTTGAAAAAGGCAATTCTTAAAAGTTTCAAGCAAAATGAAACCTAAATGTATACTCAATTGATAACATAACCACAGAAAAAGGAATTATTTCAGTCGATCATGAAACACGCTACTTCCACTAAGTACTCCTAGGGGCATATACATACTCTAAAGGACAAAAAGAACTTAAAATTGATCTTAAACTATTTTTAGTAACCTGTTTTTGGTGGGAGTGTTGGTGGTGTTATCCTGAAACTGCTATGGTGTATATTGTGGGATAAAATGAATTTTAAAAAAAGTTAATATAATTGTGGACCAGGATTTTTGGCATGGGAGAAAGGGAAGTGGATATAGACAGTTGAGGTTAAGTGAATCCCCTCTAGTTCTGAATTTAGTTGGAAACATTAGTATGGATTCATGATATGTATTTAAAAAAAAAAAATATGTGTTTCCTAAATTATCCACTGAAAATAAACAACAACTAATCCAGGAACAACGAGTGCTCCTAGCACTCCTCTAAAAAGCATTTTATTTTTCTTAAAAATTTTATTTAAGGGCTGGCCCATGGCTCACTCGGTAGAGTGCGGTGCTGATAACACCAAGGCCACGGGTTCGGATCCTATATAGGGATGGCCAGTTTGCTCACTGGCTGAGCGTGGTGCTGACAACAGCAAGCCAAGGGTTGAGATCCCCTTACCAGTCAACTTTAAAAAAAAAAAAAAAAAAATTTATTTAAGTTTACCAAACTGGTTTTTACATCCATTGTCTCATTTAATACTATAACTCTTTGATGTAAGTAGGACAAAAAATATCATATCCAGGTCAGATCTAGGCCAAGTAACCCAGGATCACCTTGGGGCAGGCCTCAAACCCCAGTCTTCTAAACCCACATCCATTCTACATTGTATCATGCTGTTTCAAAACACACTAAACATCAATAATTTTTGACGTTGTGAAAGAACCCTTGATCTAGAAAGTGGAATGGTGGTTGCAGGGGCAAGAGGTAGGGGAGATGGAGAATTATTGTTCAGTGAGTATAGAGTTTTAGTTTTGCAAGATGAAAAGAGTCCTGGAGTGGAGGGTGGTGATGGTTGCACAACATGAACCTACTTAACACTACTGAATTGTACACTTAAAAATGATTAAGATGGTACATTTTATGTTACATGTATGTTACCACAGCAGAAAAAATGGGAAGGAAAAAAAAAGACCATTAAAACATTTTGACTGAGGGGTTTGTTCTTTAATTTGGTTGTTAGAAAACTTAGCATTCTAGCTTTCTCCAAATCATTTGATTTTGCAATTGCTATGACTTCTTCTCAAGTTGGTAGTTGCAAGAAGTAAAATTTTTAAACTTTTAGAAGCAAAGGACAAAATCTTTGTAACTTTGGGTTAGGCAGAGACTTCTAAGATATTTCACCAAAAGTATGATTCATAAAATCAAAAATTATAAACTGGAATTAATAAAATTAAAAACTTTTGTGCTTTAAAAGATACCATTAAGAAAATTAAAAGATAAGTCATGGGCTTGGAGAGATTTCCAATTTACATATCTGATAAAAGACTTTATCCAAAATATACAAAGAACTCTTAAAACTCAAGATGAAAACAATACAATTAAAAAATGGGCAAAAGGAGGGCCGGCCCGTGGCTCACTCAGGAGAGTGCGGTGCTGATAACACCAAGGCCAGGGGTCCGGATGCCTATATAGGGATGGCTGGTTAGCTCACTTGGGAGAGCGTGGTGTGGACAACACCAAGTCAAGGGTTAGGATCCACTTACCGGCCATCTTGTTAAAAAACAAAAAAAATGGGCAAAAGATTCAAATAGGTATTTCACTAAAGAATATATATGAATGGCTAATAAGCGCATGAGAAAATGCTCAGCAGCATTAGTGCTGTGGTCTAAATGTTTGTCCCCTCCAAAGCTCATGTGGAAACTTGATCCCCAGTGTGGCACTGTTGAGGGGTGGGGCCTTTGGGAGGTGATTGGATTGTGAGGGCTCTGCCCTCATGAATGGATTAATCCATTCATGGAGTAATGGATTAATAGGTTAATGGATGAGTGGATTATCACACGAGGGGCACTGGCAGCTTTATAAGGAGAGCAAGCGAGCACATTAACACAGTCTTGCTTAGCCGTCTCATCATGTGATACCTTGTGCCTCCTTGGGACTCTGCAGAGAGTTTCCACCAAGAAGGCCCTCACCAGATGTGACACCTGCACCTTGGACTTCCCAGACTCCAAAACTGTAAGAAATAAATTTTTAAATATTTTTTTAAATTACCCAGTTACAGGTATTCTGTTATAAGCAACAGAAAACTGACTAATACAATTAGTCATTGGGAAAATGCAGATCAAAACCTTAGTGAGATACCAATTCACACCATTAAAATGGCTATAATCAAAAACTCAGACAGTGATATTGTGGAGAAACTAGAATCCTCATGTGTTTCTGATAGGAATGTAAAATGGTGGAGCCACTTTGGAAAACAGTTTGGTAGTTTCTTAAAAAGTTAAATGTAGAGTTACCATATGACCCAGGATTTTCACTCCTAGGTATCTGCCCAAGAGAAATAAAAACATATGACCACACAAAGATTTGTATTCATAATCACCCAATCACAATGTTCATAGGCTGGTGAATTGATAAATAAAATATGGCATTTCTATACCTGAAATACTGTGCAGCACTAAAAAGGAACTATTACTATATGTTACAACATGGATGAACCTTACAAACATTATTCTAAGTAGAAGAAGGCAGACATGAAAGACCATATATGTGTGATTCCATTCATATGAAATGTTCAGAAAAGGCAAAGACAAATCTGTAGAAATGCAAAGATGAGTGTTTCTCTTCTGAGGTGGGTTGTGCTGCAAATGGATATGAAGGAACTTTTTGGGATAATGCAAATGTTCTAAAACTGGATTGCAGTAATGGTTGCATAACTCTGTATATTTTATCAAAAATCATTAAATTGTACACTTATGTGGATGAATTTTATGATGTATAAATTGCACCTCCATCAGGCTTTTTATAAAGAAGAAATGCACATTAAAATGTCAAACATCAAATAGGCAGTCTGCTGAAACAGGGTATAGATGAGGGTCAGAACACTATTAAATATTGATTGTCATTTGTTTGAATCCTGCAGTTTATAACTCCTGGATGAAAGAGCATGGAGGATCTATTGTTAATATTATCGTGCTTACTAAAAATGGATTTCCAGGAGCTGTGTAAGTATTTTTATATTTTTTCTTTCTGTGTCTTTGAGTCTTGTCCTCTGAATGGGGGGAAGAGGAGTATAGAAAAATTTAAAAATAAAGATCATTAATCCCTTAAGTGAGTTGAGATCTTAATACCTAACATTTCCCTTTATTTGAACTTCAAAAATGTGCTTCTAAAACATTCCTATTTAGATTAGGGTTGCCAGATTTACCAAGAAAAGGAAAACACAAAAAAAAAACAGGGTGCCCAGTTAAATAATTTTTTAGTATAAATATTTCCCAAATGTGTATTGCATGGGGGCATACTTCTGCTAAAAAATTATTCATTGCTTAACCGAAACTCAAATTTAACTGGATGTCGTGTATTTTATCTGGTAACTCTAATCCAGATGTTACTAAAGTGGCTATTACTGTCCGGGGACAGCTTATTCATTGAAGTGTGGAAATGAAACAAATCTGTTTTAATTTAGATTTGAATACCATGAATTATACCTATTCAGTTTTAGACAGGACTGCTAAATTGTTACTCCTAACAGATGACCTAGAATTTTTTCCCAAAAGTTTCTAAGGTTTGTGCTTCTAATTAGTCATTCTATAAGCAGAGAGTTTGCTTCCTCTAAGCAAATTCTTTTTTTGTTTTTGGGGGTTTTTTTGGTCCTTTTTGAGACCGGCCACACCGCGCTCAGCCAGTGAGCACTTTGAGCACACCGGTCATCCCTGTATAGGATCCGAACCCACGGCGGGAGTGCTCCTGCACTCCCAGCGCCGCAGTCTCCCGAGTGTGCCACGGGCTTGGCCCTCTCTAAGCAAATTCTAACACCCTACTTACTGCCTAGACAAAGGTACTTAAAAAAGTTAGTGGTATAATGGAATTCAAAGATAATACGAATCTCTCTCTGAACTTTTTGAAGACCCCTTGTAATATTCATGACTCCCTTGGTTGTATGAGATAGAAATAAAATTCAAACTGGCTTAAGTAAAAATCTAGATCAGCACAGTTCACAAAGTGTGTTTTTTGGACCAGCAGCATCAGCATCACCTGGGAACTTGTTAGAGCTACAAATTCTCCAGTTCAGCTGTGCTTCAGATCTGTCACCTCTCCCAGGGTGACAGAGACACAAAGGATTACTCAAAGCCCATTCTCCAAAGCGATGAGAGACCCAAAAGGGTTAATCCCAGAGGCAATTCCTTCAGGGAAGGATTCCTAGGAGTAACCCTGAATCAGGTTTTCTCTCAGTTTTTATTGTCCAGGCAAGAAAGTTACAGAAAAGAACACGGGTGGTTAATCAGTTATAGCAGAAGTCAAAAAACTAAGCTATGTGAAGTACAAAAAGAAACACTGAGATAATCATCATGGCAACATTTAGTTCCCTAAGAAACTCAAAGAAACAACTGAAGGCGAGATGTGGAACATCCCCCAACCATTAACTTGAAGCTTTTAGCTCACATACTTTCCCATCATTAGGTTTAGCTGCACCAAGGACGACTGCCCTTAGAGGAATCACTTTTTCTGTGTTACAAGTTTTTTTATTTACAACAGACACTTTAGTCCTGTGAAAGTTTTGTTTTTCCCAAACTTAGCATTTCTTTGTGTAATTCTAAAACGTTAGGCTATTCCTTAAACTATAGGGCTTTGGTCCTGCTAAAAACTAAGGGCTGTGGCCCTAGTAAGCTACTACATATGCTAAGGGCTTTGGCTCTACTAAAATCTAAGTACTGTGGTCCTACTAAGCTTAAAGGTTAAGGCCCTTTGAAATACACATGTTTTATTAATGTTAGTATCTTCCACACAGATCTACTGCATCAGAAACTCAGGGAGCGGGGTTCAGCCCTCTGTGTGTGCACGCCCTGCAGGTGACTCTGCAGAACTACTACATTCGGGCATGTTAGGTTTAGCCATGGTGTTGGCAGAAGCTGCCTCTCCTTTTGCTTTCTTCAGGTCCACCTTCATTCTCAGTCAGTCTCTTTCTACATGTGGCAAAAAGCGAGTACTAGCAGAAGTTAGAGGTCAACACTCTAGCTCTTCCTAACTCTCCAATGAGAGAGTGCTTCTTAGACAGTGCGAGAAAAAAAAAAAAATCTAGTGCCAGCAAGTCCCAGAGGGGATTATCATTAGCTGACCCTGCATGCTCATGTGCATGGCTGTCAACTGCACACTGTGCTGTGGGAATGGGGTTGCCCTGCTGTGCATGGTCAGCCGGAGGACTGAGGAGCTGGGGTCATACTTGGTTTTGAGGATCTTGTAATTAGCAATTCTAAGCCGTAATATCTCTGTATCTTCTGCGCAAGGACCCCAGACTTTGAACCTCCTATCTGGAAATACATTAAAATTTATTTAAATTTTGGTATGTCTAGAAATTCTATTGATAATATTTCTAGCCTGATATATGAATTTCATATCCCTTGTTATTTAAAATTGATTTAAAAAATAACCACATACTTGTAATGTGTCAACTTACCAGCTTGTTTGTTTTCCTCTGTAATAAAAGTTCTTCAGAATATTCCTCTTATGCACATCATGATTTGGGGGACCTTACATTGGTCTGTGTAATGTGAGATTTGTTTGACCATTAGGTAACTATCGTTTGGCTTTAATATTGAAGGACCCAATGTTTTCTCCTTCGTCTAGACAAAGACTCAGCAAGACAGAAACTCATAACAAGAACGCTCTTATGGAGCTCTGCCAGGTCATTGGCACACTTGTTAGCTTAGTTAATGAGAAAATATTCAACAGAAGCTGATTTTAATGTTTATATTTTGTCTTTCAGTCATAGCGGAGCTGCAAGAGAAGGTGTTTACAACCTCACCAAAACATTAGCGCTGGAATGGGCCAGCAGTGGAGTGAGGATTAACTGTGTTGCCCCTGTAGGTAAATGTTCTGTATTGAAATCTGTTGACCATTTGTCCTCTTCTGACTTCATTTGTGTTGCTAGAAGTATTTGCTAAAACGCAGATATACTACTTGAGTAAGAGATTGACTTTAAAACATGGGTAAAATCATAAAGTCTAATTTGCCATACAGAAAGATTCTTTGATTTACAACCAGATTGTCAAGAAGGTTCAATTAAGCCAGTGATTCTCAGTTCTGGGTATATATTAGAATTACCTGTGAAATGTTTAAACAATGGTGATATATGATCTTTATGCCAAACCACGGGACCTAGGTATCTATATTTTATTTATTTTTTAATTAATTAATTAATTTTGGCAGCTGGCCAGTACAGGGATCTGAACCCTTGACTTCGGTGTGATATCTATATTTTAAAAAGAAGCCTAGAAAATGAAGATGCACAGGAGGTTGCTTAAAGAGTGATTTTTTTTTCAGATTATTTTGTTATTTCTTGTTATATCATTAATCCTTTATTAGGAGAGTGAAACAAAGTTAGAGTTGTAGCAAGGAACGCCCACTTAAAGATCTAGAAGTCAAGAGAAAATTTCTCTAAATCAAAATATAAATGATAGGGGGTAAATCACAATGTAGTCAACTTCAAAAACTATCATTTTTGTGAAATAATCTGTAGCTTAAGTTTTCTTGTTACTACATACTGGCAATGTACTCCAAGAGAGATGTTAAGTGAAATATTTCACTCATCCCGCACAACTCAGTTCAAGCTCTACTTCTTCTGTGATATTTCCTGGTAAGAGACTGGTAAGATAGTAATCATCCCTTCATCTGAAACTCTATATCATCTTTGGATATTATTTATAGATATATCTGTATAATATACATATAATCTATATATGTAGGTCTACAATCTATAATATGTAGAACTATATACCTATATAATCTATAGATACTGTTATCCACGCCGCTCAAAGGGAACTAAGCATGAACTGACTTTGTGCTTGAAATTAGTAGAGAAATCTCACCTCAAACAAAATTGCAGGCTTTTAGCCAGAAATTTCATATCCTCCTTTAATCCTCCACAGTTGATATCACCTTACCCATATTACTCAAATATTTACAGGGTAAATTAAATATAGTTCTATTTTTAATGTTGATAACTTGGAATATTGGCCTCCAAAAGAGCATTTCTTGCAAACTTTTAATGGTATGTTAGTACAATACTAATTCCTGTTTGTCTTCCAGGGATTTTTTAGGTTTAATGTTTCAACTTTAGTACTTTTAGACAATTTCATCTTCTTTAACTAAATGTTGCAAACTGTTTAATTAGAAATCGATATATCTCCCCAGTATCATTTGGCGTGACAGTGGTTGACTGTGCTCCTTTGACAACATTGAGAAAAATTAATATTAGAAATGTTAACTTTTCTATTTAATTTAAACCACTTAATGTTTATTATTTGTCGATAGACTGCCCTGATGTCTTTACAACTAAAATTTAATTTTTATGACTTTATTTTGTTCCTGTTTTTTTTTAAAACATAGGGAACAATTTATTCCCCGACTGCTTATGACAACTACAGGGCTTTGGGACAAGACTTATTTGAAGAGTACTTTCACAAAATCCCAGCTAAACGACTTGGAGTTCCTGAGGAGGTAATATATATATCTTACATTGATTGGAATTACTGTGTCTTATACTTTGGAAATGTGTAACATTTGGTGTCCTTTTTGTGTGGCCTGGTTGGCAATAGATTGTTCTCCCACTGCCATCAAACCATTCCTCCTCTTCTTCCTGGCTCTCAGGAATGTCCTGGTTATTCTTTGACTTCTGACAACAGTCTTTACTCAGGACTGAATGCTGTGTGAATTAAGAACAGTGTGTTTTTGTTGTTTCAATGTACTTTTCAGCTACGTTATTTTATCACATGGCATTAGTTGGTACACGGACCCTAAGCAAGTCAGATGATTATGGCTATATGAAGTGCCATACAAGATTTCAGTAAGGAGCCCGTGTGAGGACCCTAAACAAGATTCCTTATGAGATTACAGTAAGAAGAATTCAATAAGACCAAAATACATAAAATTCAGTAGCTTTCTAAAATGCCAGCAATATCAGTCTTAAAATGTATTTTTTTAAAAAGGATATCTTTTCTGCATATAATCATAATAAAAACTAAAATATCCAACAATAAGCTTAGCTTGGCTCAATGTATTTATTAGGATTATTGCCGGGCCGAGCCCGTGGCGCACTCGGGAGAGTGCGGCGCTGGGAGTGCAGCAGCGCTCTCGCCGCGGGTTCGGATCCTATATAGGGATGACCGGTGCACTCGCAGCACTCTCTGGCTGAGCGGCGGTGTGGCCGGTCTCAAAAAGGACAAAAAAGAAAAAAAAAAAGGATTATTGCCTAACTCATTTTTCCCAGCCACTCAATCATCAATGCATCTGGCATAGCCATTCCACTCTGAGCAGGCGTACCAATTATCACCTTTGCCACAAAACAAAAGCATTATTAGCTCACTTCCTACCACAAGGAACGCCAGTCCCACTTATCACCATACTCGTAATTATTGAGACTATTAGCCTTTTTATTCAACCCATAGGCCCTAAATGAAAAAAATCTTTTTACCAAAGAACAACAACAAAAATAGACCAGACTACACAGAGACATGTCATATTCCTCAGTGGGGAGATCAATTTTATTAAAAAGTCAGGTTTCCATAAATTAATTTATAAATTTAATATATTTTTGTAATTTTTAACACATTGACTCTAATATTTGTCTAAAAAGAAGTATGCAAAAATTTCCAAAAATGTTTTGAAAATGAATAATGAAAAGATTACCCTTCTAGATGTCAAAATATACTAGGAAGCTATGTTTACTTACAAATCTAGTGCTGGCACTGGAATAGATTAAAATTAGTGGAACAGAATGGATTCTTGAATCTGAACCATGTTTGTGTGGGAGTTTATAGAATAATGGTAACATTTCAAATCCATAAGGAAAGGATAAACCATCTAACAAAAGTCTTGGGACAATTGGCTGTTCATTTGGAAATAAATTAGACCCCCTATCTTGTATCACATGCAAAATAATTTTCAGATATATTAAAGGGCTAAATATAGAATCAAAATTATAAAACTCTTAGAATAAAATCTAGTTCTAATTCTTAGAACTCGCTTTTATTATCAGTTTGATCTACATCTTTCCAGAAATTTACTGTGCATGCACAAAAATATATCTACGTCTATTGACTTTTTTTTACAAAAACAGGATCCTGCTATATGTTCTTTTCTGCAACTTGTTACGGATATACCATAATATAATCAGACCCTTTTGTTACATATTTAGATTCTATTTTTGTTTTTGTTATTGCAGTAACTCTGCATTGAACATCCTTGAATATAGTCATGCACTTTGTGTAATGGGGTAAGTTTCTAGAAGTGGAATTCCTGAACTAAAGTAGATTTGCATATTAAATTTTAGAAGATATTGTTAAATCAAACATTCAGTGAGCCATATTAAGCGAGGCATTTGGATTTTTATTCTGAAAGTTAAGAGTTTTTAAAGAATTTTAACTGAGGGAATGATATGATTAGATTTTTATTTTGTTTTTTTTATTTAAAAGATGACCGGTAAGGGGATCTTAACCCTTGACTTGGTGTTGTCAGCACCACGCTCACCCAGTGAGCTAACGGGCCATCCCTATATGGGATCCGAACCCGTGGCTTAACCCTTGACTTGGTGAAGCGAGGCATTTGGATTTTTATTCTGAAAGTTAAGAGTTTTTAAAGAATTTTAACTGAGGGAATGATATGATTAGATTTTTATTTTGTTTTTTTTATTTAAAAGATGACCGGTAAGGGGATCTTAACCCTTGACTTGGTGTTGTCAGCACCACGCTCACCCAGTGAGCTAACGGGCCATCCCTATATGGGATCCGAACCCGTGGCCCTGGTGCTATCAGCACCGCACTCTCCTGAGTGAGCCACGGGCCGGCCCTAGATTTTTATTTTGGATAGAACAATTTATTTATGTGTATTATATTACCTATATTTACTGTATTAGAGATTAAAACAAATTTAAGAAACATTTATTAATTTATTTAAAACAGTAGTAATAAAGGCATTACATGTTAACATAAATAACATTTTTAATAAAAAATAGCTATGTTTTCAGAAAGCAATTATTTTATATTTGTTTTCAGTTTTACAATTTTCTTTAATGTGTGGCTTGATAGAATACAGCTGAACTCTCACCTCTGGGTGTGCATTCAGTCTGTTGCAATATGTTGTTTTGGTAAAAGCATATGAAGAAAATCTGACTTCATGCAGATATACAGAGGCGGATATACATGCAGAAATGGCTTGGAGCATTTTAACAGACTTTTCAGATAACCGTGGATATTTTTCTTCACTGTTCAACAAATGGCAGTTTTGGAAAGATTAGTTGCAATGTGGAATCTGAAACCACGTCAATGAACTTTTTGTGCTGTTTCGTTAAAATCTTTCTCGCACTTTGACTGGATCTTTCACCCATATGTGATTTTGTCACATAAGGCATTTATTTGTCTTTTAGAAATTGATGGTTCACTGAGTGATGCACGTCTTCTGAATGTTGACACACAATTTATATGTACTATCAGAAGAGCACATTTGTTAATATTTCCACTGATCTCTTCAGAAAAATCTTTAAGTATTAGGAACCTGTCAAGCTCATGGTGACAAATGCAAGTTTTGCAAAGTTTTCATTTTTCACTTGAAAGCTCAAATTTTATTATTGACACCAAATACTGTTAGTCATTTTCCTTTGAAGTGACAGTCCCACTTTGTTCATTTTTGAAAAAATGTCTACCAAGTACCCAAGTGTGAATAACCATAGTTTTTCAGTTGTTCTTTCAAGTAGGAAATGGTGTTTTATGAAAAAAGTGGCTAGTTCAGATCTCAATCCAATTGCATTCTTTTTCTTGAGAAACAATTATTCTTCTCTACGCATTGGAAGAGCTTTATGTTTATATTTCCCATTTCATCGCACAGAATATTAAAAGATGTGAACTCACTGGTCAAGATTTAATACAATTAATATATCTTGTTGCTTTGTCAAGGACATTCTAAAGCGAAACTGGCTTTTCCCCCACTCAAGTACTTGCTAGCGAAGAATATAATGACTACTAGTGTAATGACTACTAGTAGAGTTTTGTGTTCTGGGCCATGATTTGTGCTTAGGCTCCAGTAGTTTTTCCTGTCATTGCTTTGGCACTAGCAGTATAGATGTCAACACAGTGACAAAGACAAATAAGGACTTAGTATTATTATGGAAATAGTTTTGACCTTGCAAATTCTCTGGAAAGGACTTACGGATGCCTAGGGTTTGGCTGACCATGCTCTGACAATTGCTGATGTAAGTAATTCCTTCAAAAAGTTTGGTCGTGAAGGGAAGGAGAGAGAGTGGTAGCTACAGTGAGACAGAGAATAAGGAGAGAGTATCTGCCTTTGCGTGATTGTGTCTTAGAGTCTGAAGGTGGGCAGAACTGTCACACCAGGCCATTGGCTGGCCTAGTTGGCCTACTTATCAATGAGTTGCCTTCTTTTAAGTGACAGTCCCTGGAGGGAAAGTCAGGAGGGTTGGAACGGAGCTGTAGTTTTAAAAAGAACCGCATAGAGATCCCAAGTGTCTTGCTACATCTCTTGGAAAGAGAGTGCAGCACTTGGCAGACCTCTCAATTGGCTTGTGAGATACTGTGCACTCATTTCACAAATTAAGAAACTAAGGGCCAGTGGTGTGAAGTGATCTGCCTAAGACCATAGGTCATGGTACTAGAATTCAAACCCAAGCCTACTTACCTGTAATTCCTGTGATCTTTAATAAAGGGAGCTAAAAGGAAACAGATAACTGAGCTAACAGAGGTATTACCCACCTACATAAAGTGAACACAATTGCTAGTTTCTGATATTATTTATTCATTGATAAAACTCTTGGGAATGACTTAGTACTTCAAGTCCATCTGTCAAATCTCTCAAATGTCATTACAGTGAAAGTTAAGAAACATCTATCTGAAGACACTGCAGCTGTGCCTAGTTAATTCAGTAACGATAAAAATTTCATTAGTTTAATTCAGCTCCATGTTGAGCTCCAAAAGTAAACCAGGCGTCACAAATATTTTCATATTTTTTACCTAGCAGGTAGATTCAAGTCAATTCAGTATTATTTAATGAGTGCCTAATCAATTGGTAAACACTGTAATAAAACAGGCAATGCAAAATCGCACTTTGGGGGAAGGCCTGCATTAAAGATTCCTTCATTTTGTTCGCACTTATTAAGTGCTTGTTGTATGCTAAACACTGTCAAAGGATGGGGCCAACACTCAATATATGAAACAAAATTCAGCACGTAGGTGAATTTATTGCATCTTTAAGTAAAGGATCAGGCATAGTCTCTCTGAGAAGAGTTAACTTTTGATCCTTTTTTTTTCTGTGGAGTGGTGTGGTTTTCAGATATTTGCAGATTTTTGGAGGTCACAGTTACTTGGGTGAGATGGTTGTTGTTTGGCTGGCATTCAGAAAGGAGCTTCTTGGAGTGAGTCTCTTCCTGATTGGCTGACTTTAACAAAACTTGTCCACAGGGTGTGTTGCCACTGACTGATTAAAAAAGTTCCAAACCAGTTCAGGTGGTCATTACCATGACTCAGTACAATCTGCCTTTTCCCAGCAATGTGAGAACTTTTAAATTAGTTCTATACCAGCTCTGTCCAATAGAGATATAAAAATAGTCACATATGTAATTTTAAACTTTCTAGTAGCCACATTAAGAAAAGTAAAAAGAGGTGAAATTAATCTTAATAATATATTTTAGTTTACCCAACATATTCAAAATATCATCATTTCAACATGTAATTAATAGAAAAAATTATTAATGAGATTTTTTACATTCTTTCTTCCATACTTAGTCTTCAAAATCCGGTGTGTGTTTTACACTTAGAACATATCTCACTTCGGGCTAGCCGTATTGAAAGTGTTTTAGTAGTCTCATACGGCTAGTTGCCTCGTCTTCAGCAGTGCATCCTGGGGATACCAGGATGCAGAGAAGCCAGTGCCTGCCCTCCAGGCTCTCCATGAAAACAAACACTTGTGGCTACAGCCTGTGTATGAGATTAGGACTGGGATGAGGTAAGCAAGGCATGGGCACAGAATTTAAGGGTGTATGCACTCTCAGGGGCAATTCTGCTCTTGACCTGAGAGTGAATACCTCCTTAAATCTTGCACCCTAGGTTCCTGGAAGGATCTAGGAATCTGGAGTTTCAGTAAGCATCCCTAGTTATTCTAAAGCAGGGGTTTAGGATCATCACACTTTGAGAAACTCTCCTTCTGCCATTAGCCTCCCATGAGAGTTCCTTTACATTCAGTGAAATAATTTCTCTTTTTCTGTTTGGTTTTGGGAGTAGATGTTGCTGAATTTTTAGGAATGCAGTGGGATGCTGAAGTCCCTCTGTAGAAAGCTCCTATAGTGTGTGTTCCTGGGCTTTTGGCCTGACAGGACCATGGACTGAACAAACTGGAATGCCAATTTATTGGTACACAGACACTGACTATTTCAGGGACCAAAATATGAAAGGCTTGTGATAGTGATGGAAAATGGGGTTGTGGCGGGCAAGGGAAGGTGTGGAAAGAACTTGATTGTTGGAAATGGGAAGAGCAGAGATGAAACCCTGGGATCACTTTTGGCTTCACATTGAGTAGTTTGTTTGACACTATATCTGGCCACCTTTATCTTAGTTAGTCACTTACCTGATTTCAGTGATGCTCACATAGAAAAGGGAAGTTGTTTATGTACTGTCAGATTATGGTTGACACACACACTATAGGATTCATGTTACACTCATATGCTTTGAGATGTGTTCACTCGGGAATGCGAAGCAACCAGAGATGGGGAGTATGTTCTTTTATGTGTGCATGTGTGTTTCTGTTGCAGATTTCCTCCTTGGTGTGCTTCCTGCTGTCTCCTGCAGCCTCCTTTATCACTGGGCAGCTGGTAAATGTGGATGGGGGTCAGTCTCTGTACACTCACATGTGGGAGATACCAGGTGAGCAGCCAAGGAGTGAGTATGTAGTCACTAGCTTTATGCCTTTTCACACTCAGTTGTTCAAAACTCCTTAAGTAGTTACTAAGAGCTAAGGGTCTTCTCTTATAGAATATCAAAATGTGCAGAATGCTTATGTTCATGATAGGATTTTTAAAGGAAAAGTTATAGAAATTATAGAACCTAGCTTTATATATAGTTATGTGCCACATAACAACATCTCTGTCAATGACAGACTGCATGTAGGAAAGTGGTCCCATAAGATTGTACACCTTTTCTATGTTTAGATACCTTTAGATACACAAATACTTCCCATAGTATTACAGTTGCCTACAGTATTCAGTACAGTGACATGTTGTACAGGTTTTAGCCTAGGAGCAATAGGCTATACCATATAGCCTAGGTGTGTAGTAGGCTAAACCATGTAAGTTTGTGTAAGTACATTCTACAATGTTTGTACAATGATGAAATCTCCTGATGACACATTTCTCAGAAAGTATCCCATCGACTCATGACTGTGTTTAAAAAGTTCGTGTGTGTGCATATGTTGGTGGAACTTGAACCCTGAAAAATATTCTCAGTTTGAGTATATATTGTAAGGAGAAGATAGGAAAGAGGCAAGAGGTTGCCATATTTTTAAGATTTATTTCCTTTTTTGTTCCTCCAATAAGTGGCTTGCATATCTGAGCAGAAGAATCAGATATGTTAGGTGGGGAGGGGTGGTATGGTGCTTTTTTGCACTCTCTTTGGGGTATATATTGAGTGAAACCACATGAAATTTCTGTATTCAATCATTTTTGATATACAAAAACAGTAGTTTTATAAGTTTCAATCAAATACTGATGTTACGCACAAATGTTTTTGTGTGCATGCGTGCATGTGTGTGTGTATGTGTCTTATGGCTAGACTGTAGAACTTTGGGGTTTGGAAGGGTCTTAAAATCAGAGAATCCAATATTCTAATTTTAGAAATGACAAAAACAAATCCACCTGGGCATTAAAAGGCATGTCCAAGCCAAAAACTCTAAATCACTCCAAAAATGTAGAAGATGATATAAGGTACAAATGTATTTGAACTTTTGTTGCTAAAGATAATTAACTGGATACTAGCAAATTAACATGTGGTTGATGTAACCCATGCATATTTGAATTTCCTGTCAGGGAGCCAGGTTCAGCCTACTCTTTCATGTGCTGACAGTCTGTTCAAGGCTAAGATCTTCTTTGCATTAATAAATGATTGGTGTAGAATTTTAATTTTATTATTTCCCCTCCCATTTATATTTCTTTACAAATAACATCATCGTGGTGATGTGCATAAGATATTATGGTTTTAAGGATCTCTGTCTCTGTGCCTTAAGACAAAAATGCCTACATAGTTATGCAATATTATTTTCTGGAAGTATTTAAAGTAATGAGGGTGGGAGAAAACCTTTCCGCTTCCCTCCCAGTAGAGTTGAGTCAGTATTCCTTATGGTGGGTTGCCTTGCCTTGCCTTAGAAAGAGAAAGAAATTCCAGATGGCTGCTTCTCCAGGACTTCAGTGAAATGATTTTCTTTTAATTCTCACACTTTTTTGAATCACTACAAAATATTTTTTTAAGTTGTTGAGGAAAGCGGCCACATCTCTCTTTTTCTAATATGCTTCCCCCAAATAATGGGTGGGAGTATTCAGCCCTTTAGTATGGTGTTTTCTTCAAGACTGCCAGCTCCTAACTGAGGTGGCCTGGAATGGAAGTCTGGCTCTACTCTTATTAGCTGTATGATCTTGGGAAAATTAATTTCTGCACGCCTCCATTACCTATTCTATATTATGGAGACACATACAGTATTTATTTCTTAGAGCTATTAGGAGGATTAAATTAGATAACACACATTTAAAGCTCTGTGGCAAAATAGGATGCTTTTAATCCCAACTGGCCTAAACAATAAAGGAATTTGTTGGCTCACATAAAAAAAGGCAGGTGAGCCTTGACTCAGTAGCTCAGTAATCTCATCAAAGACATTTTTTTCTCTCTTTCCTGTTTTTGCTTCACAATGTTGGCTTTATCTTAAGGCTGGCTCTCCTGGTTACAGGATGCCTACTTTGATCACATCCAGCTGGACAGAGCAGGAGGAAGGGGAATTACTTTGTTCCAGAATTTCTAACGAAATTCTGAGAGCCACTCTGTTTAGACCAGCTTATGCAAATGTCCATCCTCCACCAGTAACCACAGCCAGGGGAATGGATGCACCTACTGACTTAGCTTAGATCCCATGCCCCACCCCTGGTGCCAAGGTTCCCCGGAACCTGGTGGGTTCTCCGGAACCTGGTGGGTTATCAAATGGAAATGAGGCTGTTGGAATGAGGAGATGGGGGACTAGATGCTGGGCAGGCAACTCTCAGTGCCTGATACAACGTAAACACATTATTTTATAATTTTATTTTTAAGGAGACACTATTTAGTGAATGTCTGCGGTGTGCCAAGTACTGTACATGCTGAGTCACATTTAACCCTCACAGCTTTAAGAGGTAGATGTTGTTATAACCTTTAAAACTGAGGCTCAGGAAGAGTAACTTCCCCAAATTTAGAAAAGCTAGTGAATAGCAGACCTGGGATTCAAATCCAGGCTTTTTCTCTAACATTCAACTCAAAGATTTCTCTTTTTCTTGCTGAGAAAATGGGTGAACCAGGAAAAAGAACAAGAAGATTTGGTGGGAATTAAGAAGACAAATGAGGTTAACAGACTTGCAAGTGACATGAGGCTTTCCACTTTCTTAACAGATCATGACAACTGGCCTGAGGGATCAGGGGACCTTTCTGTTGTCAAAAGGATGAAGGAGTCTGCTAAGCTTAAAGCTAAGCTTTAAGCTGAGGGAACACAGAGCAGTTCTCTGTCCCCACGTGCCTTAACAACTTGAGAATGCACTTCTGTACTTTTTAAGGGTTTATAATTTGTATGGAAAAAAATCATTTCTGCTTTTTTAATGTTGTTAATTACATCTATGCAAAAACTACTCCTGACAGAAATGCATTTTTTTTTTTTTTCTTAAAAAGATGACCGGTAAGGGGATCTCAACCCTTGGCTTGGTGTTGTCAGCACCACGCTCAGCCAGTGAGCAAACCGGCCATCCCTATATAGGATCCGAACCCATGGCCTTGGTGTTATCAGCACCGCACTCTACTGAGTGAGCCACGGGATCCCCTACTCCTGACAGAAATGCATTTTTTTTTTTTTTCTTAAAAAGATGACCGGTAAGGGGATCTCAACCCTTGGCTTGGTGTTGTCAGCACCACGCTCAGCCAGTGAGCAAACCGGCCATCCCTATATAGGATCCGAACCCATGGCCTTGGTGTTATCAGCACCGCACTCTACTGAGTGAGCCACGGGCCGGCCTAGAAATGCATTTTTTTATGTCCCAACCGATGTCTTTTAACTTGGGAATAAAAATTTTTTTTCAAGGAATGGAAATTAACATACTTAAATGATTAAACTTTTCATTTCTAAGAAAGGTATTTGAAAAATGAACTAATTTTAAATTCATAACAATTGAAAGGATCATGAACTCCCAGAAAGTTTTATTATTTAATTGTAAGGGTAAATAATAAATTGTGGCATAATTATGATTAATTCAGCTAGAGTTATGCAATGACTTGTTTTTGGTGGCAAATACTTTTGGAACAATAAAGCCTCATGGTAATTATCAAAGTATAGTTTGTTTTGTTCATGAAGTCAAATTTGTTTAAATGTTCGTAATTCAAAGAAAAGTTAAGTTATATGTTGTATGTTTTTGCAGTGCTTGATTTGTGTCTTGATTTCCTATTCAAAGTATTCCCTTTTCTCTATGTATCTCCTTTTGTATGCAAAAACAAAATAAAAATTAAATTTCATGCGAATTTATTAGTATTCTCCCTTCAATTGATCCTTTCTGGCAGTGAGACAATTATTTATGAAATGCCATAACAAATTACATTATGTTCATTCCTTGTAAATCAGTTAAACCTCTTTCAGGTGACTGAGGTAAAGTAGCCATTTCCCTTTCTTTATCAGTAACACTCATTTTAAACTATATGATTTACCAAACTCTGGGATTGGGGACCCAGAATCTGCAATTTTATCAGGTGCCTAAGGGGGGCCTGCATTAGTGAGGCTGATGGGCCACCCAGGGTGCAGCATTTAAGGAGGAATTTCACTCTCAGGTTTGTGCAGGTGCAGAGTTGCCCCTGAGAATTAGTGTGTCCTTAAATTTTGTGTACATACTTTTATACTATTTATGTAGAAAGATCAGAAGTCTTTCTTTTCCCCTTAGACAACATTTTAACAGTGGCCTTCTGGAGCCGATAATGTCATAGCTACTAAAAAGTACAAGCCATGTTAGAGGGCAGGGTGGCCCTAATACAGTTTGGGGGAAAGATGCACTAAGCAGGGCTTGCTTTTCAGATTACCTCCTGTTGATGACTGTTAAGAACCCTTTAAATCTCCATCGTGTTGACCTTTGTTTATTTCTGCTTAAAACATGGAGCTGTCCTATATAGCAGTAAACTTAGCTACAGCTCCTTGTTAGGGCTGCTTCTTAGACTATCACTGGAAAGCTGATCATTATCTTTATTCTAGAATTCTAGGTCTACTCTCCAGGACTTTTGTGTACATGGAAATAGTGTCCTGTCAATAACATCCTTTTGCTTCTACACGTAGTACATTTTGCTATAGAGTGACTATTCCTGAAGAGCCTTAATCATTCACTCAAGTAATAATTTTGAGTTCCTACAATGTGCTGAGCATTGTGCTAGGAGTCAGACATGCAATGGAGAAAAAAAATATATATGTGGATCTTGCCCTCATTGAGCTTACTATCTAGAGAAAGAAAAAAAGAGCCATTAATGAAACCATACCTATACATTTAAAATTCCCAAATGTACTGTTACCAAGGAAAAGGTCTTGGAGCTAAAGGCATAAACAGGAAGAAAAAAACATCCGTAGGAAAACAAAAACAATTCTGTAATTGTTCAGGTCAAGAGTTTGTTGATAAAGATCACCCTTGTGGATGTCGTCCCTCCCACACACACTGCTCTTTTGGTTTGTGGCTTGGGTTAATTCAGGTCCTCTGAGAAGCAGATGCCAAAACATGAGATGTCACTAGACCTGTTGGGGAATATGCCTGTGGAGGATAAGGACAGGGGGCTCGAGAAGGTGACGATACCTGGAAAGAGGGGAAAGGGGATTGGACAGGAAGCATCTCAGATTGCAGCAAAGCGGCCAGGGTTGCTGTGCATGTTCGTTCACGGTTACAATGGTGTAGGGGAGTACCAGGAGGCACATAGTGGGTCACCTGGGTTTTACCTGTATTCCTCCCCACTGTGTAAAGGTAGCCCTTCCTTCTCCTGCTGGTTGTGGGGACTCCTTTTCGCACCAGCCTGTACCTGGGTAAAGGGAGTCCAAAGTGCCCTTGCATCAGTCATAGTTTGTCATTCAGTGGGAACTTACTGTGTCACCTGGCAAGAGTTGCCATCTTTGGAATCAGTATTTCCAATGCTGCTATTCCCCTTAAGTCCCACAGGGGATCATTGGGATTAAAAAGGAGGGACACTTCTGCTTCCACCCATTTGTTCCCGGGCATATTCCCAAACCCATTGGGGACACGCATCCCAAAAGATGGCATTCCATCCTGGCTCTTCAGCTGTGCCTTGGTTGTTCAGGCCCTCTGTGAGGCTGGCTGCTTGTGGCTGGGGCAGTGTGTGATGCAATCAGTGGTTCTATGATCAGGGACCTGCTCTTGTGTCTCCTTCACCGGGAAGTAGGTCAACTGATTGGCTGCTGTGTTGCGTGGGGTCCTATGTCTATGGATCAAGCTATCTATAAGCCCCCAGGTAGTGGCAGTCTGAGTTCCTGAGGGCAGGAAAGGCAAACTTACCTGGAATGGGTATCTATCACTATGAGAAGTGACACAGTTACCACTCGGTAATTTGAACAGGAAAGGTTTAGTATAAAGAATTATTAACTCTAACAGGAGATTGGGGTAATGAGGGATTAGCTAGTAAGAAGTAAAGAGAACTTTAAAGAACATGAGAATAGCAGATGTAAGGAGGAACTAGCACTACTAGGGTTGAGATGGGAGTCCAAGAGAGAACCCTCCCAGCCAATAGGGCTTAACTTAACACAAGCACGGAGGGCAGGGCTGTGGCTCAGTGGATGGCAGAGAAATCACTGTGCTGCTCTGCTGGTGGAACTTGCTAGAAAGTGCCACCCTCTAGGGTGCCTGAGAAAACTTCACAGAGAGGTATCTCACTAGAGGCTTCTGCTACAAAACTATCCCCGGAAGCACTAGGGGGAGTTGGCATTGCCTGCCTGCACTGCAGGATCAGGAGGCAAACCCTTTCCTCCTGTGGTGTCTCTCCATTGTCCTTTACTGATAGCTTCAGTAACAGCTGGCAAAGGAAAAATGACTTATAGGGCCCATATCCAATCTACAACTGGCCCAAGTTGTCAACTTGCCCTCTGTGGCCCCTTGGTCACCTTAAGGAGCAATGCCACACCAGGGCTCAGCCTGCAAACAGGCTGGACATTCAGAGGCAGCGACTATATCAGCCTTGGCCAAGAGGGAGTCCATGCTACTGGGCCAAGTTGGAGCTGCCCTCCATCCCTGTGCACATTGCCCCAGTTCTAGGGTGGCCAGTGATGAAGGCCAGCTGACACCAACTGGCTGAGTCATCTTGTCTACCTGGGTGTTCTGCCCATCTTCTATGGTAAACGCTTTCTGGGGGAATGAGACAAAAATAACACCCTACCCACTCCCCTGTTTTCATCCCTATGCCTCTACCTCAAACCCATTGTTTTCTGGGAAAATGACCAGGCTGCTGGCCACTGTTAAGGAATCTCTATGTATCCCCACCTCAGACTACTTTCTTTACTTTGTAGATAGCAGTTTCATCTGCAGACTGCCCATTAGAAAGATTTTTCATCTCCACTCTCTTATGGGGCTGCCCATGAATGCAGCTATAAAAGTTCTGACAACTGGGAAGGAGGCATTGGGTAGGAAAAATCTCAGACTGCAGCGTAGTCCAAGAAAGGGTGGAGCAGGCCGATGGGAAGTCCTCAACCCAAAGTCAGCCACTCGAGCAGCCCCGCGTCTCACGGGAATAGGCCTACATGAACAGCATGGCTGTGCTCAGTCACTAGCTGGGAGCAGCTGAGGGTGAAGGCAGTGGTGGGTCCAGCGGGGCAGCAGCTGGGGCTGACAGTCAATCACTTATGTCAGACCATAGCAGGAGCTCTAAAGTACATTTTCATGGCTATTCTGTAACTGTAAAACTTCACCATTGACCATTGGCTCAAAAAAGTGCCACCTTGTGGTTAGTCATGGAACACCAGCCTGTGTGGGCAGTACCTTCTTGGGTTTCCAAGACCGGGCTGCAAAACTTCAACTTCAGCTTTAGTTCCTTTTCTTAGTATTCTTCTGTACCCCTTGTTCACAAGGGTTTCATGTCACTGAAAGAGTTGTCTGTTGACAAAAGACCAACTATAGAATAGAATAGAGTAATTATATAATATAATAAAATATAATTAATTAATATAATAAACCATATTCAAGAAAAGTATGTTAGATCAAAAGCTAGTGATTATCTATCTAGCCCTTGTTTGAAGACAGCACAGATCTCCAGGATATTTCGAATCTTGTCATGTGCCAACCTTGGTTAGGGACAGCTTTGGAGCAGCTGCGGCGGTCAGATTGCAGGACCTGCCAAGTCCCGATGCTGTCGGTGTCTGCACTGCCTTCCTGGGGGTCTCCTGACTCCTCCGGTCTAGAGAGGCCTGCCACCTGTTTGCACCTGCAGCCTCCAACCTTGTCCTCCCTGAGGTTGTCAGTTCCCTAAGAGGTAACATCTCGAAACCCTCTTCTGACTGGGGTCACCCTTTGCTAGGTTACTAACAACCTTTCTGCTTACTACTTCCTTGCGTCCTGTCTCAGCTTACTTTGTCCCTTTCTGTCAGTTCCTGCAGAGTTCTTGGTGGACTCTCTCTTCCATG